AGAGAGGTTCTCCACTTACTACACATCTTCCCTCGAAATCGTAGATCTATAGACGTAAAACAATAGATAGATCGAAGTGCTGAGGAAACTCAGATTCCCTGTAAAATCCGGGGTCATATGCAAGGGGTAAATCTCAGATAAGAGATCTGGGTGGCGAATTTGCTTTCGCATTTAACACTTCGCCATTGCATAACTTTTTAAAGAGTGTCAATAAATTGGGGCTGGTCTTGTTGCTAATGCAATATATAGTAGTCTGCATATTCTGAGAACCCCTGTTCCATGTCTTATATCGTCAAAAGAGCTACCGGGAAATTGATTTGAAAACTATAAGTTCCAATCTTGGAAAGAGCGGCGATTCTCAAGTTTCAGTCGGAACACAACGGGGTCTTGGCTTTGGCGCTAGAAACGCGGCAGAAGCAGTTGGGCAGTCTTCCATCTGTTAGCGCCTTCTCAAGTACACCGCCTTTCATTTTCCTCAGTTTCAAATAACTAAAAAATACATATTACAACATACCCTGTACCTCGGTAAGATAATAATATAAAATAATGTTCATATTAACGGAAAACCCGCGTTTTCCGGGCAAAATGAAACTTCCGAGGCTCGGAGTCCGCCCGTTACGCCCGTTAGGCATAAAGAACAAAGGTAAAACTATAGGATAGGCCGTTTATTAGTTTGGGCTGAAAATAGGAATGCTACACGTAAGATTTACATTCGGGGTTATTTTGGGATCGTCCATTATTGAACGGTCTCCCAACCTGTTATCTTATTGTATTGAGGTAGAATGAGCCACACAGTAATATACTTTCAAAGTAGTTGAAAGTGATCATTTTCCAGTATAGCCAGTTCTATCCGGCATATTTACCCAAAAAGGAGATCCTTCCCAGAGTATCGTCTTTCCTGCGTTTTATCCATGTGCCGGGTAATCCGCGTTCCTTAACCAATTTTAGTCGGATTTTGATCATTTGTCGGCACCTTATGCGCATATTGTATGATGCGTCTCACATGGTATGATGCAAGTGTAACAACCTCGTCTCGATCCATTGCCCATTGCGCGATCGAACGTGGATGGTGTCCTGTTTTTCTGACAGCATCTAGGCACATTCCCTGTATTCAGCTCTTATTCGATAACCCTGGGGATTATCATATAGGCCAAAAACCGGCCCGTATCATGGATCATATTATCCCCGCACCACTTTTATTAAGTCACGATGACAGCGTCGTACGTTGTAGGTTCTAGATCTACAGTCAGATTCAGGCTGATATGAGGGACACAGTCCGAATCTCTTGCCATATCAACAGTACCCCGCTTGTCTCGACTGCTTCCGCCAGAGACACTAGCTAAAAATAGCATCTTACTTGCCAAGATGCACGACACGGGATAACTGAAAGTACATATTCGGATCAATGGAGCACAACATACAATACCTATAACATATTTTCTGTCATAATGCCTAGGCTGATTGACCTATATAGCGGGCCAACTCCCCATGTCCCTTCAATATTGCGAGGATACTAACATCAGTTCAAGGTCTTACCCTAGGCGCTAACAAATACTATCATTATTTCCAAGGTTAACCCAATCTACCGCACCTTCGACGAGAAGTCCTTGTCCTTGAGTTCATTATGAGAACCGTGCAAAGATCTGTAACACAGCGATTTCGGCCCCTCTTCAATGAGTCCACAATATCTATATATCGCTAGTCGCCTCAAATCAGACAAAATTCTAAATACTGCGGGCAAATCATCCAAGAGACCACCACAAGCCAGTATAAAGTGACTATCAAACTGCATGACATTTACAGGCGTCCGAGTCACGAACAACGAATTCAAGCCCTTATTTATAAGGCACTAGGAATACCCTTAGTCCAAAATCTAACCAAGCAACAGAATTTCCAGCTTCTACAGATCGGCAACGCTGAAGGAATAAAGTCTAAAGCGCATTTCCTTCTTCCTAAGGACACCACGTTATAGCGTGTATGCAGGCTCGGATAGGGTGAGGTCGTTTGATTTCATTGGTCCTGGACCAGGCTCAAATTTCCTTGAATACATGGTGTTTGACGTACTCAGCCAGCTACTGAAGTATACTATTTCTCTTTCCATTGAGCTTCCCCTAGACTTGGCGTATCGGCCTACATCATAATCTGAAGTTATGAAGCAGTATCACCTGAGGGTGTTGCTAACTTACCGGAGAATCATATCGATACTGCTCACTTCTGCTACAAATTGTTGGTGTTATGCGAGTGTGTGTAAAAGGTTTAGTGGTTCTGTAAGAATATCACGACTGTCTGGCTGTTTGCATGGAAAATGAGTCGCCCTATGACTATAGGATGACTTATGACTTGTGATACTATCTACACAATCTGCCCTTCGAAGTATGCTAAATTCCATAATTAGTTGGAGGGAATACCCATAGATAGAAGCACGTTAGGGTACTGTATAGACGAAAGGTAGCTGCTGGCATCATCTCTATTGTCCTTTCCTTGATGGCCCCTTCCCACTTGTAGCCGACAGAGAGAGACATAAAGCAAGAGCCGAAATATTAAATTACATAGTATTGTTCCTCTAAAAGGGCGGTTCAAACCCACATTTTTGTGCTGGTTCCAGCAATCTGGCATAAACGCGCACTAATGTGACTATTTCTTTTACAAAGGGATGCTTGGAACTATAAGCGATATGTGACGGGGCGCTTGGGATTCCGACCCGAAGTCGTATTTAACACCCAAGGGTTTATCGTCAATCTTACTCTTATGTATTTGACCTCATGTCTGTAGCATTGCTGTTAGGTTGGAGGGCTCTGGAAGACCATATAGGGATGGAAGACGAATCCAAACTATTAGGTCCTTTCTATTGGCTGGCAAGCCTTGTATTCGGTAGGCGCCGCGGAATGGTATTACTGTTTCCAGAGTGCTCTTTCTGTAGTATCTAGGAGACGGAAGCCTTCCAGTTCACAATGCGTGGAGAAGTATGCTATTAGATAAACCTTTTCATTGGGCCGAACTTTGGGACTGGCAACGAGAGAGATTTATATCATATCTCTCGTTGGGAACTCGATCCCTTGTAAACGGGCATACAACTGAGGTTTATTGTGAGTGGTCAAGCTTCGTGTGATTTGGCCTAGATCATGTCCTTTTTAAATTTTTTCTAATTTGTGGGTGTAACTTGTTTGTAGAGTATTTATATGTAGTGAGATGACAAGTGGAAGTCTTATCTAGAGGGGCAGGTTTATCCAGGTTGGAATGTGCCTCGTTCAAGGGTTAAGCATTTTAGGGGAGAATAAAACTCATAATGAGGTTGTTGCAATTAAGCTATGATCAAGGGTTAACTCATAATTAGACATAATACCGTAAGTGTACTAGTTATCAGGTGTTTTGTAGGAAAGGATTGCGAGGGGGGTGTCGTTACCATGGAGTGAGTGGACATGCATGTCAGACTCCCTGGCGCACGGTCTGTTCTAATTGAGTTGGAGCACATGGTAATCCTGCTCTAGATGATGACAAGCGAAGGCAATTGGGAAGTTTGCTCTTAATTTTGGATATGTAAGCCTGGCAAGCAAATAAAGATGATACACAATGTCATCGGGCTATATCTCGTGACACCTAAGACGGAGGAACACATTATCGCCCCTTTCCCAAGAATCAGCGGTCTGAAACTATATAGAACATGAACGGGTAATATCTTGACGAGCTAAAGTAGTACGGATCCTAAGCAAATTCAAAACAAAAGTACGTGCCGTCTGCACGAGGCTCACGGACAACGCAGATTAAGGAGGAAAAAGGTTACTAAAAGCGAAGCACATGGTAGCACAGATCTATTACTCACAGAACTAGTCATATTTGCAATCGACCGGTGAGAACCTTAGTGCTAGCCCAAGCCCGAAGTATCTAGACCGGTATCTAGTTCTGGGTAGCTCGGAATCCGAAAACCGACTCGGCTAATTCTCCTTTTTACGAAGGTCCATCTCGCATAACATCTGTCATGTGGTTGCAATTAGTGGGTCTTATTGGACACGGGGAGTTTAAAGTACATCGCCCAAGACTATCGATAAGAGTAGGCTAAATAGTGCGCCATAGGCCCGGATTCTTCACCGAGAAACGTGTGGGGAAGTAAATAATAAGCAAATGAGGGGTAAAGGGGGAATGATGTGGCCGTCTCACCGGGGAAACATAAAGAGTGGAAAATCCAGCTAGCAATTGTGGACCTAGATGATTGCGACATAAACAAGCCAATCCAATCAATGGAACAATCAACGTGTAAGGAGAGAATAGAAAAAGGAAAACAAAACAATTGTAGACTGATAAGCAGTCACAGTAAGATTGGCAACAGGGGGGCTTGGCAGGATGCACAAGGCCCAAAAATAGGTGCTGCTTGGGTGTATACATATCCACGACGTACAATGGGCAGTGTTGCCTGGTCGTGGAACATGGTCCGCGATAACCGTCAGTCCCTGCCCTCCCGGCCAAGGCGGGAGCATCAAATTGCACAAGGCTTGGCGGAAAATCATCATCTTGGCAAGACTTGGCAAACATTTAGGGGTCTCCCTCGCGTCCGGCGGGGTGGGGATTCCTCTACGGAGTACTACGTACGACCTTGTCGTTTGGTCAGGTGGGCTATGTAATATGCACAATTTGGTGGCAAAAATGGAGTGGAAAAGAATCGTGCAGATGGTTTGAAGTCTTGTTCATTGATCGCTAGCTTGCCGAATGTGGCTATAGGTATGCTTCCCAGAAGCGAAAGACGTAATAATGTAGACAAATTTTGAACGAAAAGCATTTGGTAATTTCAAAACGCCAAAAAAAACACCCCTATTGATTTTCCTGCCCTATCCCATGTTGGGGTGGTCCCAAACCTCCCGATTGGAGTCGCTCAATTGACGAAGATTGCAAAAGGAAAAGAAAGAGAAAAAGAAAACACATGGTAAGCTCAATGATGCATCGGTTGCTGTGACGGTGATATATCTTGAAATATGGATGAGAAAAAGAAGACCGAAGGGACTAGGCGCCTAGTTCTGCTTCTTGCCATGACCGAGGTAGAGGAAGCCACTCGGAAGGGTGGTGGTAAGGTCATTCAGGGAGACTGAAGAGTTCGTAGAAACAGAGCTATTGGTGCGGGCACGGTTGGCAGGAGCCAACACAGGGATTTCCTCAATGGTCTCAACCTGGGGCTGGTCTTCCCAGGCGCGGGGATCCGGGCCAGATTCAGTGGGAGACAAGACGAGGAACTTGTTGGCGGGGTTGTAGGGGCCAGACTCAGTGGCAGAGAGGACCAAGAAACGGTGGGTGGGAGTGATAGTGTACATTCTGAGAAAAGTTTTGAAGACTTTGTGTGTGGAAGTGACTCGGTTAAAGACGGGATCTTTGGAGTATTGGAAGAGAAAGTTGGAGATGGGTCGTTTTGGATGGAAGTGGGAAATCTCAGGGAATTTCGACCTCACTTATATAGCCCAGACCGAGATAAGCCAAGAGGGACCCTGGAGAATGAGGGGCATGCTGTATCAAGATAACTAAGCCCGAATCACGCCGATCCAACGCATCCAGCACATCATATCTGGGCCGGGGGTACGGAGTAGTGGATACGCGGTCATGCAGACAAGCCACCCCCCGCCAGTATCACCCATTAAATTCCATAAAGGAGAATCCCAAACATGCTGGAGAGCTTCACATGTCTTGGCTGAAAAAAGGGGGGATAAAAGCCAAGAGTTCACTATTGACCGACTATCACCCTTTCTTTTTCGAAACGCTTCTTCTACTTCGCCTCTCTTGGCTCTGGCATGGTCACACCAGAGTCTGGGTGGCTGACAGTCATTCTCAGCAGCCATGGCAAATATGTTGACTTGGCGAATTAAGCCCTGTGTCATCGCGCAATATGCTTTTCCTAGAGAAACCCGTTGCCAGCCGAAACTCAAGGACCTCGGAAGATCAACAGCTAGGATGAGGGGCCAATATACGAAAACTCATGGCTTTCACAGGCTCCCGTATGCATCCACACCTACGCAGTATGTGTGTTAATAATGGTTTCGGGTGGGAAATACTTGCCTATTCCGAGTTGTTTCGTCGATAGTTCTCTTCGCCAATCATTTTAACCGCTGCGTGGGCGCTAGGACCACCGGTTATGCTGGGGTATTCGACCTCCCCGGCCTTTCTCTTAGGGACCCGATAGCACAAATTTCGCTGCTTTTTGCAAGGAACATGACAAAGACACGAAAATGACATCATATTCCAATTTTCCCCAGAATCGAGAATTGAGAATCGAGAATCGAGATATTGTCAACCGAAGCAGTCTAGATTCGGGTAATTGTCACTCCGAGATATCACTAAGCATGTGAGGCAGATTGTTTCAAACTGACCTGCTGGGTTATTTCGAAACAGATAGGAAGTGAAATTGGAATCGAAATCTTTGTTCCCAAGGTTCCTTTCTCAAGTTTATTTAACTTGAAATTGAACCTTGGGAACACTTATCACGTGGTACAACCCTCATGCAGCATAATGTAAACGTTATTGAAGTGACTTTCGTTTGTTTTCAATTTTTCCCCTTCTCTACAATAAAAAACGCAAACCAACAGCGGCAAAGCAGACGACTCAGCGACTGGTCTCGACCTGTCGATTGCCTGGCTGTGCCTTGCCGCCGCGAGCCTCGCGCGTCTCTACTCGCTCGGAGTTAATATCCCGGTGGGCCAGCGCCTCAGCAAGGGGAGAGCCTCAGTCGAACCCATATGAAGGCTACTGTGCCTTGGCTGAGGAACTTGGTGCTTGTCACCAGTCATTAGCGCTCTAGAATAAATTGATTGGCCAGCATTGAATTCTTTTTATCCTGGGCCCTGCAGCACGATCGCGCTAGTTCCGACAAAGAACGCCCCTTGGCTAACATTGAACTCGGCCAACACCGACCATACCCTACCACAGCACGTCCGAATTTCCTTGGCATCGGACTTGTTTTTATACTCTACTCGCTTAACATCAATATTATCAAAGAAAGCCTTGTCACCGTGCAGTCTTTCACATTTTAATCGCGCAGAACTTGCGGCTATCACCAACTGCGCCATAGAAATGAGCCTTATTCGCCTACATTCACAAGTCGAGGCCCATTGCAACAGAGTCAATGAAGTCATCCCCTGCCATATCGAGACTGACTTGGGGTGGAATTTTGCTTGGAGAACTGCCTTCTTTGAAATTCGGTTGGTTCCTGATGCTTCTTTCAGCGGTCTGCCTATCTAGCCCTGCGGTTCATCATGAAGGTCTAGAGCCAGGACTCTTTGGGTCCTATGCGGTGACTCGAATTTTTTTGGGAATTATATTGAGTATCAACATCAGAAATTGAGGAGAGTCATCCCAATTTCACCGGCGTCGTTCAGTTAGTCACATCTCCTGCGCCGCCTACAGTGAGGTACACACATCATGAGAAAGCTGTGGCAGGTGCCTTCCTCCCAGTATGAGCCATGCCTTTAAGGCTAGATATCAGGATCATAGAGGTTTGTCAGGTGGGGCGAACTATGTTCCTGACCCACGCTTCGGCCGCAGCACTGGCCCTATGGGCTGGCGGCCGGAGATGGTCATTGTTGGCGCTCAGAACATGAGCCCTAACACTGGCTGCAGCGCTTTTAGAGTGATGTCAAGTGCTCCCTGCAGCCTGCGGGTGTTGGAATTTGCATCGGTAGTCATGCTTAAGGTTCCGTGACCTTGACCAACCCCCTGCTGCTGGCGAACCCCATATCAATAATCGTTACTCTTCCCGGAGACACCCACTCCAACGGTCCACCTACCACACACACAGCTTTCTGTTGGCAAAAGCATATTCCCTGGATATGGCGCATGTGTATACAACTTTCGTGCCCTCCGTCACCTTCTTTTTGACTGCGCAACAAGTGATCACCAAGTCACTGCCTGCATACGGCGCATCTGGATGGGTGATTTACAGCGCTTGTAGGGGAACGGAGGGACCGAACCGTTTTTGTGACTCTCGATGGCGTGTTCTTTTTCCTTTTCTATTGAGTTGCGCAGTCAATTCACTTCTCTTGATGTGGCCATCAAATGCTATAAAGCCAGGCATTGATCCCCTTCTGGCTTCTCATCACATCAATCAATATCTAGAGTTGAAGACCCCCTTCGAACTCAGTCATCTTCAATTCGCACCAACTGCTTCTGAATCCTCTGCAACTTGAATTTTCCGCTCGACCCTCAATATGTGTTCCATCTACATCTTTGAATACGCCTGCGGCTGCAAGCACCAAGAAGGTGGTGTGGTCCCCTGTGTCCACCAAGGCACTCCTGATTGCAAGGGCGTTAAGGAGCAGCCTCGTACACGATCTGGCTTCCCATGCCCTCGTCACGGTGGATAAAGTGACCTCGGATGTGAGTTTTATCTTTCATATTGAGGCGGCTGTCGCTTGCATAGGGTTTGGCTAACAAGTCACTACAGGCACACAATTACTCGGAGGCTCGAGGCCGTCCATGGCTAGGTCCTACGAGCATCGAGTGATTGGCTTCCCCGCCCTGCCTGTGTCTGATTCAAGATAAAAAGAAGATATGATAAGACTGTATCACATCTGCTATTTGGGGGCAACCTTATTTGTTGCCTCGCATCGGTCATTCTGGGATGGCGACACTTTTCTATATCTAGAATTTCGGGCTCTCGTTTTGACTTTTTTGTGTTTTTCGCTGTCATTAGTTGCCGGTGTCTCTCTGTGTTGTCTGTCTATCTACGCGTGCTCGGATCTTCCTCTCCTTAGACAATACGGTCCCGTGGACAAATCCACAGATTTTGGTTTTCAATATGCAGTATATCATATTTTCCTGATTTGTGATATTTTTATTTTTTATATTGCCATTCGAGTTTCATTCGAATGGGCGATGCATGAGGATCCCAATATAAAACAGCGGTATCAAGCGGAAGGCAAATATTCCAGCTTTGTAGCACTTCATGGGCTACGTAGCAGTCTCATGACCCTCAATGATTTCCTAGCCTACTCGATTGTCGGTAAGTCCACTGAGTCTTGGTACTTACCGAGTGGTAACTTAAGGCATTTGGTTCTGTTAGCGGCACTCGCGGATCCAAATTATCCATAGCAGGTAGAAACCGTTCTCCTCGCGTCATAAGATATTGACGGTCGTCCAGGTCGAAATCCGATTGATCTACCTGGAAGATCTTCGGCATGCCGCATTTTCACGAACCCAACACAACCAATACGGCCCATGTCCGTTGTTGGTGGGAAAGGAATTTGTTGGATTATATAACCAATACCGGATGCCGGAGACATTCTTCCAATGCGAGGTGGCGATAACAGGGAAAAGTGCGTGCAAGATGCGGCCGAGAACTGGGGATGGCGTATGTTTCGCCATGCTTACTTGTTTGTAGCAAAGTAGACGGAAACGAAGTCTTCGAACAATCCAAAGTGCTCTGAGTTTTGCTTATTGATTAAAGACTCCTATCAACAGGGCATGGTGGCCCTTTAACGAATCACGGAAGCTTCTCTTGACCTTCCAGGGAGAACACATAAATGAAAAGATTGTCATAGGAATCCACCGAGGATGCGACGTTACTGTCGGTAAAGTCGGACATGCGTAAATTCCTATTGGCAGGAATAGGCTTTGGCCACGTTGTGCATACGCGAGTCATGTGCATTCTGTGGTGTCGATCGAACACTGGATTGTAGAATGAATGCACTCGGGAACCAGTCACATCTGAGTTGCGAGGGTAAAGGCGCGTGCAAATCAGTTCCATCCTCTCATCGTAGGATACGAAGTCGAATCAAGCCCAGAATACAAAGGGAAAGGTCGGGGAAGAAGGTACCGTTCCCGAACAGGTGCGAGGTTCGGGACCTGGAGGCTGGTCAGTACGTTTTAGAGCATGCTAGTGACATTAGACGCGGGTGCGAGCTCTAAGGTTCGTGGTAGGCGATAGGCAGCACAGACACCTCGTGGGTTCATTAGTCCCGCATATAATTTGTATCAGCTGATTTGTAAGTGTCAAATCGACCAATATCCGCGACTTGGGCTTTTTGGTTTGTCGATACGTAGTTGTTTTCCTGTCACAAACTATTAATGGGTACTGAGTATATATTCAGCATTCTACACTCCGGTAGATGGGTAGATACCTGCGTGTATGATCGTGTCGTCTTTAACTAATCATATCATATCAAACAGAGCCGATGTGGAAGAAATCAGAGGATTCGATCGAGAGTGGGCAAAATACCCCATGCCGCGCAGACCACGTCAAAGCTCCATTGTTGGCCAATCCGCATTTTTATTGGCACTGCGCTTGGCTAAATCCAGAAAAACAGTGGGCGGATATGAACTTGGCCCCTCAGATTGCCCTTAACAGTGACCAGATGAGATCTTAGTTCGTGAAGTCCGGTTATGGAATCAATATCACTAGTCTGTACCGGGGTACTCTACCGATTCATACCTCGTTCAGCGATGACCATTCTTGTGTTGGCTTTCAAAGCCTCAAGACGGTTGCAAAGTCACCACCGAATAAATCGTTAGATCCAACGGTGTATACTTGTGTGACAATTAGACCAAAGTCGTGATAGCAGCACAACGGACAACCTAAGTCCGCCTCGCTTCCCACTACCCTACAATTCTTTAAATTACCCATACAACATAGGCTTCATGTCCCTTTTCCCTCTTGTTAAAGACATTATTTTTAGAGACCTTGCCAGGAGTCATTCTAGAAAGAAGAAGTCCTTTTTCTGCCAGGTGAAAACGCAACCTACATATAACGAGGCAACCAATCAAATATTGTCCGAGTTGAGCCGGAAAGCACCTTTGCCGGCAGCCGCGTTTGGAAGGTACCTAAGTAGGTATCTACCTAGGTAGGCAAGATTCAAAGCCGTTACCCCTTAACGCCCCTGGACACAGCCATGGCTAGCAACAGCTCTCCAGATCTCAAATTGCATGCCCTCGAGTTACAGGAGAGAATTAACCGTCGACAGGGCGAAGAGGGCATTCCACAGGCCGAAGAGCGCACTTGACCGACCACTTTCGAGGAACTGATGCGCTTTTGCCACACCCTACTCTCCCTACCTTTAAAAGTCGGGGAATATCCGATTCTACCAAAGGGGAAATACCCGCCCCCACCGGGAAGTTTGCCTGACACGGCTAGAATCGTGGCCTGATTGTCCAGCTCAACAACAGCTTTATCACGCTCTGTGTGGGTATCTACAATCAGAGGATACGCCGCGGTTGTTCTCCCCTCTGGCCGAGTTATAAGGACATCACCGACGCCTTACTAGCTAGCCGATCGACTGTGAGCAAGGCATAAAGCATTACGAGCGGTACGCCCTGGAATATCACGTCAGTGATATAGTCAGTGAATTGTGCAAACTTCCTCTTGCTCGAGGCGAATTCATGCTCAGTGATTGAATCGAGTTCAAACCTCATATAAAATCTTTGGACAATGAAGTTGGGGAATATACAAGTCACCCCTCGAACATACACGAACCAAGAGCTGATCTGTTTTGGATCCATAGTGTTAATGGAAACAACAAGACCATTCTCACTACGGTTAAATATAAGCCCCCCAACAAGCTTTTGATGGAAACTCTTCGTCTACGGCTTCGGCCAATGGACTTATGGAAGGATATGGTCCATTCAAACGAAATACCTACGGAAGTGGCCAAAAAAGTTAGGTACAATGCTGAGTGACTAGTCTACTCCGCTACTGTGCAGGAATACTATGTGATGATTGAAAAAGGACTCGAATATTCCTATTTGACAAACGGACTTGCTCGTGCCCTTCTCTGCGTTCCATACGATAGTACATTGTATTACTTTTTCTGTGATCCTAACAGAAATCGAACCAGACTTTCAATCCCTAAAAACCTCAATTGCCCGTGTACTATGTCTTTGCCTGATGGCATTCCGATCCCCTGCGCGTGATCAAAGATGGAAATATAATGCACGGTCGAATGTCCATGTTTGGAAAACCAGCTTTGATCATACTCGTTCTCTCCCGAGAAAGAATTGCAGCAACTTCCTCGATCGGGTGACAGTAGCTTCAGTTCCGAAATGGGTCAGGAGTCCGGTTCAGACTATCAACCATCGTCGCCTCTATCTGAACCTTCTACTGAAGAAGGTCGTGGGATGTCTAGAAGATCTCGGCCTACCGGACGTGCGCCATCGGATGCACGACACCGTTCCGGGTCACCAGGCTCATCGGGTTTTGATACAAACCAAGCAGGACGAAAACGTCGCATCAGTCAAGTCATATCCTCCCCGTCTACTGGACAAGATGCTAGAGACGACCGAAGTGACCAGTCACAACGCCACGATGCGCAATATTGCACTCAGCGGTGTTTACTCGGGTTAAAGACTGGCGGTACTCTGGACGACTATTGCCCAAACGTGTCACTCCATCGACAACGTCAATATGATCCCAAACACCCTATCAATGCGGAGGATCTGGTTCGTTTATTGAAAATCCAACTAGGCGAGGACCTTGACAGGAACTGCACGCCTTTTGGAACGTGCGGGTCATACGATGCGCCATTCAAACTTACATGTGCCGCCTATGGTTATACGGTTGTTGGCAAGGGAACAACTTTGAGACTTTGGAAGGCAGTCTCCCGCGAAGCTCAGGTTTACCAGATGTTTCGGAAAGCCCAAGGGTCCGCAGTACCTGTTTTCCTCGGTAAAATCGATTTGGAATTAATGCACTTCCATGACGCGGGAGACATTTCTCATATGCTAGTTATGGGCTGGGGAGGTGAGCACATAGTGAATATGAAACTGACCTCGTCGCTTCGCCGGGAGATGAAGCGGTCCAAAAAGGAAATTCTCGAACTAAGAGTTATTCACGAGGATCTTCGGCGTGCGAATATCCTTGGAACCATGAGCTCCAACGAGCATTGATCATTGACTTTCACCGGTCTAGATTGGATCCCCGGCCAATATCAAAACGATCGCGACCAATGAAAAGAGGGTTGAAAAGCGTTTACGTGTGTTATGAATGAAATGTCCTTATACCCCCAAGGTTATATAGTAATTAGTAAATGCATATTACATATTGCATAATGAAGGATTGCATTCCCCAGCAGTTTGTCGATCACTACTTCATATTAGTCCGTAGTTCTTATCGATGGATGCGCCAAGTGGCCGAGGTGTCATCAATGTATATCACGTGGTGATACCATCACGGGCTCCTCGACTTCTCATTTCTCCCAGCGACAAGCATCAACAGCTATAACTTTGCATATGTGATGTCAATCGAAGTCGACTGGGCAGCTGCCACCTCCGGCCCGGACGGGGAAGCCCTGGCAGAGCGAATCCGGTCGTTCGTACATGACAAGTTCCAGGAGATCACCCTCCCGCGCTTTATTCGCTCGGTCCAGGTCCACTCCTTCGATTTCGGCACCATCGCCCCAGATCTCGAGATAAAAGACATCTGCGAACCGTTCGCAGATTTCTACGAGGAAGACGACGACGATGCCGACACCTCCGTCACCTCAGAAGAGCTCGGGCATGAGCTCCATGAATCCCCATACGAAGACGACATGACCTTCAATCCCACCGCGCATAGCCTCCATAATTTCAGTCACCATCCATACCCCGGCGAAGGCTTCCAGCCATCTGCGCTTCGATCCCCACTAGGCGACCACCTTAACCCGCATTTCATGCCCCGCGCCAGTACCCCTGGGATCCCCGGCGGTACGTCGACATTGGGATACCACATGCGGTCCCTGGGCGGTCTATCAGGCACCCAGACGCCCCTTGCCGCGGTAGCAGGGGGCACTTCTTTTGCGAGCGGATGGTCAGATTCAGGTATTGGTGCTGGACCCAGGTCCCAAGCAGCCCGCCCTGCTGGCCCACACCACTTTGCAGAACCAGACCTGGATACCACCAACTCCGCCTCCAGACCCTCGACCGCAAACACACTCCCCTCCCATCCTTCCCTTGGCCATACCGGTAGCAGTGGGTCAAACCCGCATACCAGCGATCCCACCGACGCGCCACAATCCTCAATAGAGTTATCAGACGATCCCGCCGCCGAGGGTCAATCGTTCCCCATCCCTCCCCGCATGCGTGAGCGCCGCCCAGAGGACTTCCAGGTGCTGTGTCATGCCAAGTATGCCGGCGACGTGCGCATGTCCCTGACAGCGGAGATCCTGCTTGACTACCCGATGCCCAGCTTCGTGGGGCTGCCGTTGAAGTTGAATGTTACGGGCATCACGTTTGACGGAGTTGCCGTTGTTGCATATATCCGCAAGCGAGTGCATTTCTGCTTCCTTTCTGCGGAGGACGCAGATGCGCTGCTTGGATCTGAACAGTCTCAGGGTAGTCAAAATCCCAGTGACGATGGTCGGCCTCGGTCTGGGGGTGATCAGAAGGAGAAGGATCTAAAGCGGCAGGGTGGATTATTGCAGGAGATCCGGGTGGATAGTGAGATTGGTCGCAAGGAAGATGGGAAGCAAGTCTTGAAGAATGTTGGGAAGGTCGAGCGGTTTGTGCTCGCGCAAGTTCGAAGGATCTTTGAGGAGGAGCTCGTATATCCTAGCTTTTGGACATTCCTGGTTTGAATTTTCGAATCATGCCATCCAGCCGTTGTCGGCTGACTCTTATACTACATATGTACATTTACGAATAGCTTATGATCTCTAGACATGACAATTATTGCTCCGGTCCTCAGCTTCTTATGCACCGAGACAATTGCGGCTACCACGCCTCACTCAGTGAACCGTGTGTACCGTGTGCAGCAGGAACTGTCGGCCTTCACTAAGGACGGTCCCGGCATGGGGTAAGTAGTCAATCCTCAGATATTCTAACGAAATTTCTAACCATTGTTATAACAGAGCCGCCCACCTCGGGACCGACCGCATGGAGGTCCAGGCCCGCAAGTCCTACTCACAGCGCAACATATCGACAGAAAATTGATACGAAAGGGTAAATTTGATTGAATATGACAAGTGCTATAGAATCAGCACTATGGATCCCACCGAAAAGTCTTAAAGACATCTGCTAGTACATGGAAATGAATGCAGCGGTAGAGAGTTCCAACCGCAATCCACACGTTTCCCTCTACATAACAGTAGAGTCGTACATTGGGAAAGGGTAGTTATGCACAATACTTAATCCAGAATGTGTTTGAGTGATTTTGCAGAAAGGGTTCCAACTCCCTGACAGGGGACGAGCCTCGATCCAGAGCAAAGGTAAAAGGGGCGCGAGTGAAAGTCTATCAAAGCTTGGGCTCGACAGTCTGAGTCCGGCGGAATCGAACAGTGGAACCCATTACAGGTCCTTCTTGTCCTTCTTCTCGTTCTTCTCGCCCTTTTCGTTGGAAATCTGGTCACCCAGTTTGTGGTACTCGCGAGTCAGACCCTCGCACTGCTTCTTGAGAGTCTCAATATTCCGGTCCTTGGACTCAATGATCTCCTTAAGACGACCGATCTCGCCGACAGAGCCAGCCTCCGCGATGCGGGCAGAGTCCTTTCCACCGGCCTTCTTGTCGCCCTCGAAGAGACGGACGCGGTCCTCAAGGCGAAGAGTCTCGAGGATCATGGTATAGGTGCGGTTGAGGATCAGGGAGAGGAACAGAGTGAATCCACAGAGATACATGTTGCGCTGCGAGTAGAACTTGCGGGCCTGGACCTCCATGCGGTCGGTACCCAGGTGGGCGGCACTGTTATAACAATGGTTAGAGATTTCGTTAGAATATCTGAGGATTGACTACTTACCCCATGCCGGGACCGTCCTTAGTGAAGGCCGACAGTTCCTGCTGCACACGGTACACACGGTTCACGGAGTCGATGAACAAGATGAGGATGAAGATGAAGGTAATCTGGAGGCCAGTTTAGCAGTTTGACCGGAAATTTGGGGTCTCAAATTGGTAATATACCTTCAATCCATATTGCAGCTTGGCGATGATCGGGCTCTCGGAGATGAAGGCAAACAGCTTGCGCTTAATGGTGTGGGGGAGAGGGATGACGAGGGCCAAGAATACGGCCATCTCGAACACCAAAAGGAGGAACACCTGTATAAAGAACTGCGTTAGTCCATCGATAGGGGCAGAGTCTGGAGATATGATGTTGGCATCTTGGGCTGGATGGACAGCTTCAGGCACCAGGCTGCAGCGATTCTTGAGCAGCACCACAAGAAGCAACTTTGGAAGGAACTCGTCGGACTTACAAGGGAGTAGTAGAGAGTCATTGTGCCGTGTATTATCAATCAAGCGACACTTAACAATCGAGTTTCTGGCCTAATTAAAAGGCGCGGGGTGACAAGAGCTTCGTGAAGATAGCTTAGGGGGAAAGGTAAACAAATGCGAGAAGCTGCAATTTTGTAATGAACAAGCGCAAACACAGAAAGACCAAGACAAGAGAGATTCCTCGCACCAAATATTTTAGGCAATTGAAGGTCGGGGAAATCAAAAGACGAGGTGGTCTTATGAGGGAAGTTTTTCAGGTTCGGAGGAAGACGTCATGGCCTCGGAGGCTCTGCACGTGATGCTGTCATCAACCCTAATCAGCCCTGGGGGATTCCAAGATCTACCTAGGTATTGACTCCTTTCCTGAGACAAGTGGACTTGGGTATGTATGCTGGTGATTTATTTGATTGAAAATCTCCAGTTTCTACCACTATGTTCAATAATAGTCTTGCTATGTATACCACTGAAGTCTAGTTAGTATATGTCGTCATCACCTGTGGACGGGATCTACATTGTATGTACTCCGCAACTGATAATGCAATTATCAGTATAATACAGTTAACGTTTCTCCAAATATGTACAGTTCTCGGCCAAATAACTAGGACGGAGCAATATGCAATTATGTACATCGTATTCGGTGAGTCACCGGGTAAGGATTCCCCTCAAGTGGGGATGTTTCGGCTACTGCATGGGTTAGCATGGTAAGCTGTCAGCAGTCGAGAGGGGAGCTGTCTGTGAATCGGCACAGTTACACAGACATCACTGAATCCCCTCAACGTCGACTGTTCTTGCATTTCATATCAAAGCCATGGCGCACGACAATCTGAGCACCGAAGAGATCGAAAGAGCATCCCAGCTTCGAAGTGCACAAGACAAGGCCGTTGCTCTCTTCGAGGAGATCGAGCGCGATTTGATCCGACCGGGAATCGCCGAAAAGACTCTAAATGCAGAAATCTACCAACTAGGACTCGATCGCTATGGCATCAAGACCCACTGGCACAAACGAGTCATCCGCAGTGGACCAAACACCTTGAGCCCGTTCAGTGATAACCCTCCAGATCGTGTCATTCAGCCTGATGATATCCTTGTGGTTGACCTGGGGCCGGTCTTTGAAGCCTGGGAAGCCGACTTTGGGCGCACTTTCGTCCTAGGAAATGACCCGAATAAGCAGAAGCTGCGGGATGCCCTTGAGCCGATCTGGAATACAGTCAAGGCAAAATACCGCGAAAACCCAGAAATGTCGGGCGACGAGCTATACAATATCTCCTGCCAGGTTGCGAAAGAAGAGGGGTGGGATTTCGGCGCGGATATTGCGGGTCATCTCGTTGGATCGTTCCCTCATGAACGCATTCCGCGGGATAGAATCTCGCTCTATATCGCCAAGGGCAATAATGAGTCAATGGGCCTGTCAGGCCGTGACGGGTTCAAGCGTCATTGGATTCTGGAGATTCATCTTCATGATCGGGCGCGCGGGTTTGGTGGCTTCTACGAGCAGCTTTTAACGGTCGATTAGACTTTCCGGGGTGTTCCTATGCAACTTACCGCGGTACGGTAGCCACAAACAACATGTATGTCCTGCTGATTGCTTTCCTTTTGGGTATGCGATCTCTTTGATGCGGCGGAAATAGTTCATCAAGGCCTTCTTCTAACACGTGAAAGAATTGAGCGCCTTGCTAAAACATCCACACAATGCATTCGTGATGATTCTATGTACAATTTTAGGACATGCGAGATGCATATACAGGCCTTTTTTAGCCCTCAGCTTCGTAGGCGTTCGACTTGTGCTTGGGCTCGAACTTGAAAGTGTCAGGTGCAGGACCCAGGAACATTTCACTGTTGTATCGATGAACGGTTAGTTAATAAGTTAAAAAAGGTCGGCAAAAGAAAAACTTACGTGATCTTGATCCAGTCTTTGTAGTTGCCACTGCCCATTAGTGTCTCCAACTCATTCCGGCCGCGCCAAGCAGGAGGTCTGTCCTGAATGTTGGGAGGGAGGTACTCCAGCAGTCCGATTGGGACATAGCGATAGGCAAAGCTCAGCCATTCTAGCAGGAAGCGACGGGTTGTTCCAACACCATGCTCATCAGAACCCCAGGCCTGGAGACCGTACTTGGCAAACTTCTCGATATAAGCTAGACGCTCAGTCGCGGACTTATCCAAATACTGGCCGGTCTGGATTTCCTCGAAGATCCATGGCTTGATCAAAGCTCCACGTGCCACCATCACCGAGTCCACGCCAGCATTGTTAACGTGGTCGTCGTAGTCAGTATGCGAGTAGCAGTCACCGTTTCCGATGAAATAAGTCTTGCCACCATTGGGCATGTGGCGGGCATCCGGTTCACGGATGGTATCGCTGAGTGCATCCTGCTTCTTGTTCAGGCGCTTGATGAGGGCCGCACAGTCTGAGATGTATCCCCAGTCTGCCTGTCGAGTGTAGCGCTGCTGTCTACTACGTCCGTGCAGAGTAATGGCTGCGGCACCCGGGGGGCCGAGGTCCAGAACACTAGACTCGTATCCACCGAGAACCATACGCTCAACTAGCTTCTGGGCGGTAGGCTGGTTGTCCTTGGTTCCCATGCGGATCTTGACGGTAATCGGAATCTCCTGCGAGACAGTGTTCATGCCGCGAATCATCTTCTCCAATTTGGAGTGATGGTCGAGAAGAGCTGAGCCAGCTCCATCGCGGAACACAAGCTCAATGGGGCAACCGCAGTTCAAGTCAATAACGCGCAGGTTGGGTGTAAACTTCGACAACACTTCGGTGGCCTTGAGAGCTTGCCATGGCTTGTTAGCAGCAATTTGTGCGCCGAACTTGAAGTCCTTGGAGTTATCATAGCCCTGAACAATATTGTCGCCCGGGATGACGGTTGGCGGTGCCATTTCCGACTCGTGCGCCTTCAACAGGGTCCATTCGGACTTTGAGCCTTGGATCAAAGGCATACTCATAGCCATCTCGGAGTACGTGAACTGCGCGCCTAGATCTCCACAGAGTCTTCGGAATGGCATGTTGCCTTGGGTCGTGAGAGGTGCCAGAACGGGTGTCTCCGGTCCGAAGTAAATGCGACGCTTCTCTGACGGCATGAAGGGAGGCTCAAGGAACTGAGCACGGTTCTCCTGCATGTCGATCTTCGCTTGTTCGCCCGGTTCAACAAGCTCACCCTTCTCGCGGGTAGTAGATCGCTGATGGATCGCCTTCTCCAATTCTGCAGACACTTGAATGGACCATGTGGTGTAGGCGTCAGCTCGAGGTGTGTCCTCACGCTTTCTTGTAAGTGCAATTTTGTCTTCGTTGGAAATGATGTTGACAATTCCGTCGGGCGTCGCGTTGGCCATACGAGGGCGCGCTTTCTCCATACGTTCAGCATCCTCCAGCAAGATCAATTCCTTCTTGCCATCTTCAGTTTCTCTCTCAGTCGAGTGCGAACCAACCATGCGACATTTCCAACCGGAATAGCATTTTCCTAGCGCTTCATAGACGGGGCATATGTTGTTCAGGGTTGTAAGATCCTCGCGCTTATGGTCTTTCAGATAAACACGCAAATCGTGCTCAAATCGGCATTTCTCGCCATATTGGCACTCTCCAGCGGCAAACTCGTTCGCAAACATTCTTGTGCTGCAAAGGCCCTTGGCATCTTTAGATGTACCATAGGTGCGATTGGTGTTCTGGCCCTTGTTCTTCTTCTTCTTTCCTTTGTCCTTCTTGCCACCATCACGGTCATCATGGGGAGCGGCCTCGGCGGCATCGTCAGGGCTAGTCTCATCTGCGGGGCGAGGCTTCGGTGTGATTTGGATGCGATACCTGAATGGCCAAAGTTAGTATTTTGCGATAATTGACGCACAGCCAGACATACTCTGCTTTAACTGGTGCGATTCCCCTATCACGCATATCTACCTGGGAAGGTTCATCCAATCGTGCCTTCTTGGCTGGAGGCTCTTCCACGCCCGGGCCGCCAGACTCATTTGCGGCATCGCGTTTCGGAACCTCCATGTCAGGAACAGCGACGCTGATCTCTGAGACTTGGGCCTTCGTATTTTCAGACTCCATTGTATTTCAGGGGTAAGAGCGAGCTACTCATGAAATTCGCAATCGCTATCGGTAAGTTCGGTCAAAATTTCGCATCCAGGCGATATGTTTGCACTGTTTGGATTCGATACAATTGGCTGTATGCTTACGGGACCTTTTCCTATAATGGACAAGCGCAAACTCAAATCCCACTCCCCACTCATTGCCCAAGGCACGAATTCACCGAAGATGCGTCGACATCGCATAAAGCGTCTTTCTAATGTCTTTTCTAATGTCTTTTCTAATGTCTTTTCTAATGTCTTTTCAAATGTCTTTTCAAATGTCTTTTCAAATGTCTTTCTGAAGGTCTTTCTAAAGGGATGCCAACCTATTTAAGCGCGAATCTTTCCTCCCTTAATCTTTCCTCCATTTTCCCTCTACCTTCAAATGGACAGGTCCGCTCATACATTGTTCTTTTTTTTATTACTACAATATGGCCCTGCTGGTGCGGCTAGCGCCGGCCGTGGCCAGGGTGGTCGCAGTGGACGGGTCCAGGTATGTATTCACTACATCTTATTTCGCCCTAGAGGCCCTAGGAGCCCTTGGAGCCCTTTGACTCCTTGACCCTAGAAGCCTTGACTGAGTATATCTTCGCGTGCTAATTGATTATATAATAATAGAAGGAGACCCGTACATGCCACTACTGCCATCAACGCGGCCACGTCATGGCCAATTGCCCGACTGTTATGGCCATCGAAGGCCTCGTTGGCCTGGCCAGTGCTGTAAGTGCAAATTTGTTATTACCGTGCTTGGGATTATGCTAATATGATATTCTACCCAGAACGGGACTCTGGGCGTAAGAACATATGATGATCGAGTGTGTGTCTTACTAATTACTATAGATTGGCTTCGTCGCGCCCTACCTACTGTTAGTAAGTTAGGTCCGCTGTCCTAGATAGGCCGAATGATCGGATACAAATTCTTCATGTCATTACAGTGTTACTCGTTTGAACACTATATACGTGAAGATGGCAGAGATCACTGATTCTGAGCCAAACGCAATCCACGAGACCCGCGAAGGGCTTTCCATCGTGACTGGTCACACTCAACCCGTACAGGTCCTTTCATCATGTTCATTGCACGCAGCAGCGCAGCTCCCAGTCACTAGGTGAAACGGGAATGGTTACTCGAGTCCCTTCATGGGTAGAGCAAGTACATTTGTAGGAATATGGCAGCCTCGACAGTCGTTCCGTGGGCTTTATTTCCCTGGACTTTATTCCTTTCGCCCAAAGTTCAAACCGACCACTTCCAACGGGTGGTAAGGGTAATAACAAAGCTGTCTGTCGTTTTTCAGAAAGCACGTGATGCTAGCTGCGGTGTAATCCTGGTGATATCTGGCTGGGACGGGTTGACTACTTATGATCTGAGCATGACGAAACTTAGTGAGAATGCTGAGGGGGTCGATGTCACTCTCCTGCCCTAACGGATCTCGGCATTTCCGCGATGTCAAACTTTTGGACGCATACGGAGTGTTACGTGAAGATATTGAGGCCACTAACGCTTTCTCTGAATACACCCAACATCTGCGGCTCTTTATTTGGCTTTATCACAGGCGACTTCTAATCGACCGTTGCCAAGCGACTTCCCTTTCGATCCACGAGAGGCCTTGCATCCATCGTCGATACCACCATTTTCTATCGGAGACGATAGAATGAGCCCAGAATATGAGCAGGACAACTGGATGGAAGACAGGCATGTTAACATGGCGGACCCATTTATTGACGGCTTCCGTCAACCAGGGATAGTTCACCAAGCGACGGCAGCAGCAGTTTCTCGGAACGAACCACAGTTTAGCAAGCGGCAAAGTATTCTTTCCTCTATTTCTCCACGGCCCGAATGTCAGGTCTTCTAAATGCTTTCCGACATGCTGCGTTAGTTGTGGAAATTTTAGACGTCGGGTGTTTAGGTAGAAGCACACGTCTTCAATCTGGCTCGTTGACGAGCATTCTGTTATCTTTGTTCAATCTTAATTTTATTGTCCATTATTTTCCTCGAGTACTATGGTGATTATAGTCCAAGCTTATACCCATGCTTCCGGTTCATTGCAATAGTCATCTATGATTCGACCACGGTCCATTGATTCCGAAAGCAAATAATTAAACAAGTGCAATGAAGAGAACAGGAGCGCCTGGGCTTAGAGAAGGCTGTTCTTCTATGAATGTAAAAGACCCTTTGTTCAGGGCTCCCCTGGGTCTTATGGAAGCATCACCAGACAGCGGCACAAGATAGATCTTTCGAAATTCGTTTTTAATCAGTCGGGTTTCCGGGAAAATCGCTAAGGTCCATCCCCAGCCCTGTCCATTCATCAGTCAACTGCCAAAAAAGCGTAGTATGTTGGATGCCTACCTCTCCTAACTCCATTGCCGCAACTAACCCTGACGCTGCAGCTTCACCACACTCCACTCCGCTTCAATTTGTATAGAAAGAGAACTGCACTGCTGAAAATTAAATGCACTTTCCTCTAGCATTGACTTTGTATTTTTATTCAGTTTTTCGCTGGTACGTAGCCTACTAGTTTGACCCTTCTACGAGAACTAAGTGAAATATGTCACTATATGCGATCATAATGACTGCTACTACAGTGACTACGCAAAAGTATTAACAACGCCGGCCCCACATAATATTCTGCCTGTCGAATTATTCCCCCAAGATTAGCTATATAGCTATTATTGAATTTTTATTATGCCAAAAACTTCCTTCGCAGTCAAAAGTTTACCCTCCCACCTTATACCAAATTTTCAAGCGGCGATCTGGACACTTTAGGCCCTCTACACTCTGACTTAGTGACAATTCGGTAGGCGGTAGAGGTGAAATTTAGGCGGTGTGTTGTGTGGGTCCAAGGGTGTTGTTAAAACTTATGCGTAGTCACTGTATACTCCATACAGGACTATCAGTATTAACTGCTAAGAATAGATTAATTAACGCTAGCTATATATGGTTAGCGTCTTTTTACTTTGAGTCCAAACGTCTTTCTCTTTGTTTGCCAGGAATCCGACCTGCTTCCCTGCAAAGTAGATAGATCTCTTCCATGGTCATGTATCCATCAGATCTCTTCTCCCTTGATAGTCGCCATCAAAACTATTAAGCGATTACACTAGGACTAATAATATCTGATTAATAATCTAGATAGCGATTTATATCCATGTAACGCAACAAACCAAACCCAGTCAACACCCAACTCTCCATCTTCCACCCAAATCTGACCTCCTTTTTTTTCAATATCTGGCTTTAAAACAGTCATTATCACGTTCAATTGGGCATGTAACTCAGTGGGAGAGTGCTCGCTTTGCATGCGAGAAGTCCGGCGTTCAATCCGCCGCTTGTCCATATCGTTTTTGTTTCTATTTTGATTTTGCATCCGAAAGGTCCGGTTACGGCGGCTTATAAGAGCCAGTGTGCCACTTGGTTTGCTGGCAGTATGACTGGAACTTTGAATACACATCATCTGAATCTAAGCGTTCTAAGTTTCCTTTCCATATATTAAAATTGCTAGGGAGGGGGCATTGGGTGGGATTTGATAAAGTAAGTAGTCGCTGAGGGACTATAAGACTAGAGGTCGAGTTTCACTCGAGTTGGAGGATGCGCTATATGTGGCCTTGTTTTTAGTCACGATAACAGCATTTTGACACAAGAGCGATCTGGCTTTTATGAATATCAATTATAAATATACTATATCGTCTATCGAGATTGGTCTTAGTAGCAATGGATGAAGAAGGTAACTCCGAGGAAGTCATGGAGAGCGGTGAATTGGGCGGTGAAGACTTTACTATGGGGAAAATCCGAAGTGCCCCTTAAAACTGCCGCACTCCTTTCCTCTGCTTCAATCTTTTATGTGTAGAGCTTATCTGCTGCGATTTTGCTTGGGACGGCTTTGCTACCCCCCTTTGGGGTCGATTGCCTGGTTGCTGGATAATAGCGACGAATAAATGAGACAGAGCGAAACATCGAGGTTTCCCTGATTTTAATGTGCCCATGGTGTGTTATATCAATAATATATATTTGCGCTGCAACCAAATTTATACTCCAAACGGACTGCAACAACACTCTACTTCTATCTCGACTCCAGGGTTCACTCAGAATCAGAGTAAATTTGCCTGTAAGGTTGAAGGCCTCGTAGTTTTCAATAAATGCCTTGAGCGAAGGAGTCTCACCTGTAGGCACGATTTCTTCCATTAGCACCCCTAATGCGTCAGAAAGTTTGACATCGCGGAAATTCCGAGATCTGTCATCGCTGTCTTCGACATAGAGTCGAAGAGTGACGTCGATCCCCTCGGCCCACAAACCAAGGCCCCCTATATTCATATCATGCGTAGTCAATCCGTCCCAACCAGATATCACGAGAATTACACTGCAGCCAGCGTCTCGCGCTCTCTAAAAAACGGCAGAAAGCTTTTTCATTACCACAGTCATCAGTGGAAGCGGTCGATTTCAGTCATGCATATAGGGAATAAAGTCCACAGAACGTCTGACAAGACTGCCATATTCCTGAAGATGTACCTGCTCTACCCAGTAAAGAGTCTCGAGCAACCATTCTCGGTCCACCTGTTCACTAGGCGCTGTGTTGCTGCGGCCAATAAACACAATATGCGGCCCACTACCGGTTGGATTGGTTCGATCAGTCGGGATGAAAGGTCCTATGTAGGTTGCGCTTAGGTCAGTGTGAGTGCTCTCTGCCATTTTCACGTATGTAGTGTTGACACGAGTAAGCAAGTAAGAGTGATGGAGTTGCCAAGTTAAAGAAGGGAAAGCAAGAAGGGAAAGGAAGCAGAATGCTTTTGTTTTGTTTACTTTGTTTGTCGGGGAAGGCGCGTTACCTACACGCACCTATTCAACCTTGGAAGGCAGTCAGTCACTATGCCGAGCATGAGCACGTGTCACATAGTCTTTCGGGACTCTCAATTCATTATATCTCCGACCTTAAGAAGGCCGTCGGTTTCTCTAATTCGGTAAAAAGGCTTTCATTATTTAAAATGTACTTACTAGTAGCTAAATTAACTAGCTAGCGGTGCCTAATAGAGTATCGAGGGCTATTAGTTTAAAAAGTAATATTAACCGGTAACAGGGCAGCTAGGACTAGTAGAATTAGCGCTTATTTATAACTTATTTAGTTAGTATAGTGATTTATGCACCGAGAATAAGAAAAAAAAGTAAAAGCGAGCTGGATCCTGGAAGCATATCCCAGCTATAGAAAGCCTATCAGTTGTAGAGGCAGCGGTATTAAGTATGCCGGCGGCGGAGCAAGCAATGGAAGCACCTATAACCCCCCAAAAGAGTACGCCTGCACTACCTTTGCAGCCAAGAATTAAGGCCCTGCCAACCTGCTCACTATGCAAAACTCAGGGGCATAAAAGAAATGTATGCCTAGATAGATGCTGATTTTAGCTTATTTAGTTTAATGGCGTTTTGGTTGAGATAAATGCAATTAAAATTAATAGATTGGGTGGGGTGGAAAGTTCCTATGTATGTAAGACGAGCGCAGATCGTGCGTCTCACCGCTTACTGCGCGAAGGCATGCACATGTACTGCTGACGATCTCTCTCCGGTAGATAGATCACCTAGGGATCGTCATAGTCGTATCGAATCCTGCACTAATGCATATAGATGGGGCGTGGCGCACTGAACAGATCAACTTAGTTTTTCGAGTAGATCTTGACGTTTAGGTGTCCGAGCAAGGCGTCGTACTTCATTTGGTTTCCTTATTATCTCTCATACTTCCCCATACCTCGCAATCTAGAGACCCGAATGGCGATGGAGCCTATAGACTTTACGGAAACAGCTTGTTTTGAAACAACGAAACGCCTTCTAACCCAGCTTGTCAATGAGGGACTGCTCCATGCCTATCTGTATCATCCAAAAATCGGTCGTGGGTATGCTCTGTCTCTTCGCGGTAGCTATTCCGTGGAAGTCCCCACAAAGCCGACTTCCGTGACCATTCACGTGAAGCCAGAAGCATGCCTTCATGCCAAAGCCAACCGGATTCTGCCAATCTTGAGACCAGAGTATCTTGAACCGCCTGTGTTTCTTGAACTCGACAATGGCGACACCATTCATGAGACGGACCCCGGCAAGATATTCAGATCGATATACACCTGGTTCGCACCAGACTCCTTGGAAGTCGCTGTCGTGGAGACCATCGCCCATGAGCTGAGTACAACAGCTTTGAATCAAAGTAAATCTAATCCCTCCCACTGTGGCCTTTTGCTCGTAGCTAGACCTGACTGCAGTGTTACAGAAAAATGGCTCCAACTTCACGCCAATCAGCGACCACTACTTCTAGACAGTCCGGCGATTGCCTGGGAACAATGTATAATCTATGGCCACCCGTCCCATCCTGTGAGTGAATTCAAGTTTTCATTGCAGTCTTGCTGCAAAAGACGCCCTGGGCGTTTACTCATTTCCCCAGTTTCATAGGCTATGTTATGCCCAGCCCCCGCTGCGTGCGTCTCATTTGGAAGATTTACAGGATTTTCTTGTTCCGGAACTATCTCTTGTATCAGTTCCTCGAGCAGACCTCCGAGTAAATGGACCATTCGAGCTCTTGTTGACCCCCCTACTGCAAAAGCTTAATGTGCAGACAGTGGCGGAGGATAGAGTGATCGTGCCCTGCTTTACCAAGCAATTGCCATCTATTGAACGGTGCTTTCCGGGGGCCGTCCGTGTCGCATCGATTGTTGATGGCGCAGACGCGCAAACTTCCATGCGATCCGTGGTTTTACGCGCTCACCTTGGAACCAGCTATATCTTGAAAATGTCCCTTGCCTATCGGATCACATCTGCGGTCCGGACGATTGCTTCCTCGATCATCCCCGAGGTGGTATTCATGAGTGGGTTCTTGGAAGAAATGCTACCACCCGACTTATGGATATATCGTGAGGTTGCAGGGGTGACGGGTTCCGGGGATGACTTGGATGACGCCCGGCAAATATCTTGCATCATCCGCGAGGATCTGGAGCCGAGAGCTATCGCTAACGGCCAGACATTGATTGTTGCTGCCGCTCTCTATCAGCGGCCTGCTAATAGCGACAGAACATATGCCGAGATCATATTTGGCCTGGATACTTGGGACATGAAAATTGCATGGTTCCAACGGTATGTCTGCAACCCATTTCTACTGATTATCGTTGTTTCGCGAACTAAAATTTGAAATTCGGTAGCTACATTGAGGGCCTCTGTGACGCAGTTCTGCCCCCACTAGCAAATTATGGGATTGCTTTAGAAGCGCACGCCCAGAACATTGTGCTTCGTGTGTCTCGGGATCGTGCCGAGCTCAGAGGGTTTGCAGTTCGTGATTGGGGTGGTGTCCGACTGCACAAACCTACACTGCAAAAACTCGGTATCCAGCTGCCGATGGTCGATGCAGAAAGTCCCGTTGTCACTAATGATCTCGATCATATCTGGAGCAAGTTTCACCAAGTGTTTCTGCAAAACCATGTGGCGTCAATCCTCATTGCACTCGGATTAGAGTCCAAGGGAGGATGGGCGATCGTCCGTGACGAGTTGTCAAGGGTTCTGAGTGGCAATGATTCTGACGCTGGCCCGAGTCTGCTGAAGTACCTTCTTGCAGATGATATGCAGATGCGATGTTTCTTTACAGCTCGATTACAGGGGAAGCCTTCCGTGGTAAGCTTTCATCCCCATGGGCATCAGTAGGGTTTGAACAGATACTAAGTCAGACTGCATACAGCCATTGGAGCGAGGCGTGCCTAACATCGTATTGCGATAATATATCTTCTTTCAACTTTCTCGTTTACTAAAACAAACAGAGCCTGAGCATTGATGAACCTTCTTAATTGGGTCATGGCGGGGTTGCGTTGTTCAATAGTTTAAGTGATCAAAATTTCACGAATGATTTGTTGCGGTTAGTGTAAACAGATTGGTACCCTTCATTGCCTGCAGATCGATTTTTCCATCTAAACTTCTCAATCAGTGGAGCGGCTTCTACGGCTTCACCGCCTATTTGTTCCACATGCAGCCATGCATATATCTATACTTTTATACTTTGGATGTGTTGAAAACTTTGAGCTCTTTGGGCTCATGTATCAGCCAATGCTGCTAGTTTAAGTCCACCCCGAGCATTCCCGAGCGCATCCACAATATCAACTGAGAAATATTTCAATTTGTTGCATGGTCCTCCGTCATATCACCCTGTCCGTATCATTAGAACCTGATCACTTCCATGCTGATACCCTAGACCAACGAGACGTGATGCCAGAAACAACCAGCTACGAAGCACTACCCAACGAGCCAACATTTACGCAACTCCTCAATGTCTCCCGCCAGGTAAACCATGTTATTGTCCATGATCCGCAAACCGGAGTGGAAGCGGACTATGGCCAATTTCTTGCCGACATGCTTCGAACACGCGAGGACTTACTACGATCGCTTCCCGAGTCCCTTTTGAAGGGGAAAACCATCCTCGACGACGAGAATCCGTACATCTTCCTTCTCTCGGAAGGGAACTACGAATTTATAGTCGGTGCATTTTCCATTCTCACTGTTGGGGGCGCATTCGTGCCATTAGGTGAGTTGCTCCCGGTCTCCGATGTCATGAGACAGATCTTTCATTGAGAGATGGCTTATAACCCAACGTCATCGGGCGTTGTACAGCGACAAGGATTCTACCAGAAGAAGCGTTGCATTTTTCATCTCGCTGTGGCTCAGCAATCATCCTAGCGAGCAAGGAGTTCTTGCCCTTAGCGCAGGAAATTCAACAGCACGCCTTTTCTCATGGTCTCCACATTACCGTAGTCGAGATTCGCGTCAAGACTTCGCCTTCCGTCGACGTCTTCGCCTCTTTTCTCCGGATTGATATGGACGTAACGATTCCACCACACCGGCCCAGTATGCTGTTGTTTACATCTGGCACGAGCGGACCGCCCAAGGGCGTTGTACACACCCGCAGCCTGTTCTACGATATTCATACTACTAGCGGGCCCAGTCAGGTCTTTCTCAGTCACCGGCACCACCTGTGGATTGGGGGCGCGATGCCTCTGATCAGGCACCCATTAGCGGGGGCACGACTGGAAATCACTAAGCCTGATCCCGGAATTCTGTGGGAACGCCTCCGCATGGGTGGGGTGACCATCTTAGCTGGAACCCCGCGCCTCTGGAGCCAGATGATGGAATACTTCCTGGACCATCTGAAGAAGCTCCCGGCCTCAGAACGCGATCCATACCTATCCGGGGCCCGAGGACTCCGCATTGCTCATGTCGGAGGAGGAATGCCCCATCAATCACTGCTGCGATTTTGGCGAGAAGACTTAGATCGACCGCTGGTGGTGGGTTACGGAGCGACCGAACTTGGTGGAAGGGGACTGAAGGTCCCTCCTAATGTCAATATCCAGGTCTGCACCCCTCCCCTCGCCACTACTACTGCTTTTTTCGTCTAAGCTCACATACTCTGGGGGAAATACAGCGTTGCATCGGGATACCAAAGCCAGAGGTCAACGTTCGGCTCTCGAGCGGGGACCACGGGGAGATTCAAGTCAAAAGTCGCTTCTTGTTCTCACAGTACGTACCTGGAAACCACTTCATAGAGCGAGCTTAACCTGTGATTCCAGCTACCTAGGTGATGAGCAAGCCACCCGGGCTGCATTTACTGAGGATGGCTTCTACAAAACCGGGGATGTGGCCCATCTTGTGGGCGACAACTACGTTCTGGACGGCCGACTATCTGGAGAGTGTAAGTAGCCATGTTACCTTTCCCTAATTTCTAGTTTTTACTCACGGTGCATTACTTGGTAGTTATGAAATTCCGCGGGTGGCGAATATCCATTCTTGAGGTGGAGCTGCGTCTTTTGGAGCTCCCATTCATCCGTGAAGGCTGCATCCTGGGCGCCCCAGATCCAAATAATGGTGCGCGAGTGGCAGCTCTTGTCCGCTATGGAAGTCACACAGGACCTTCCAGGTGCAATTGTGATAGCTCGTTCGAGCCGACTCTGTGGTTTCTCAGAGGCCGTCTCGCGGCTGACCTACCTACATATATGCTGCCCACAGCCTTACGGGTCCTAAAAGATGGGGAAGAGATTCCTAGGACGGCATCGCACAAAGTGATCAGGTCCAAGGCAGTTGAGCAGTATTTTCAGCTGACCGAAAACGGGGAGATTGCAAAACCTGTGGACCTTTGGGACCTTGAAAAAAAGGAAGATTCACGACCAGTAAAAGCTTGGGATTGGGGAGGCTTATAGTATCCTATGCATTTATCTATCTATAGTTGCCCCTAAATTTCGAAGAATCAAATGCAAAGCGACGAAGCAGAATCATGTCCGATTTACAGCATAGTGCTCTCCCACACTACCCCCGAGAAACACCATGATTGAGCTTCTCCACCAGCAGATGCTCGACAAATTCGTGCAATCCAGTGGGATTGAAACCAATATGCGGTGTGACGAGTCCCGCTGCAAGATGGTTTCGATCTGTCTCTAACATCATTGGCCCGTGAGCTAATCTTGATTCCGAACCCCTGGTCCCGCAGCCTTAAGCCGGCAACTTGGTAATCGCGTACAATGACCATCACTTGGCAATGGATTCTATATCCAATGAGTGGCGGCAAGGCGTGCAAGGCCTTTTGCCACATCTCAGCGTCGCCATGAGCAGATTCCTGCAAGCCCGTATCTCATGTGAGAATGTCGAGGCGCAGCTGAAGGTTTCCACGCGCATAGCACTATACCGTACTAGCTCTGCTAGTGCCGAGTTCGCGACGATCCCGATCGACATCAAACAAAATTCTCCATCTTTTGTCGTATATGCCATAGACCCACTGGAGGTGATGATAGGTCATAAGCTTCGTGACCGGGTCTCGGTGGTGCTCTCTAATCGTGATGCATGAATACAAGCACGCGTGCCATCGCAGCCACGGCTGAGCATTTGGGCTTCACCATCCTGGTGGGCCGCAAATTCCGGGCCGCGCGGAAAAGATCATTCAATAGTGACCATTTACCTTATTGAATACCAAGCGGATCTGGATCAGAACGTGTATCGGTCGATCTATCAAATGAAGGCTGCATTTGATCTGCACTTGATTCCACGAAAGACACCAGACAGTTCTGAACATTTCAGCGCTGTTTAGAGCAAGTGGATGTTTTTCGTATGTACTCCCACATCCCCCCTAGCTCTGTAAGTTACGAGTAATACTCTTTGGGAATCTGTCGTTCAAGCAACCACGCCCAAGTTGGATGAACCCATTACAGCGTTTGGCTACATTTATCTCTCCTTCGCCCTCTTTACGCATGAGCCGATCAGTCTATCTTCATTATCCTCGTTAAGCATTTTCCCAGAAACGAAAGGCCATGAAAACTCCTATCATTACCAAAGACGAACCACTCCCATATTTTTTCCCAAGACCAGAGGCCCACCAATCCAACCACCAGGTCCACCACCAAGAGTACCTGGATCGTTTTTTTCGCCAGAATTCCACCATTCAATTTGTTCGCCTACAATGGCAGGATTACTCGGGTCTGCTTCGAACACGAATCGTCACCATTGCGCACTATCGCAATCTGGTAAACTCGCAAAAGCCCGTTCACGCGCCACCCATTGGCTTCCATTGCATCGTGGATAACACCTTAGTTCCACATCTTGACCCAACAGGCGCCCATCTCCTTTTGCCTGACTATAGCAGCCTACGTATTCTGCCCGGCCGCCCCCGTTATGCAATCCTTATGTGCGGCGTCGCGGAGACGCGCCCAGTGAGTCCGAAGCCAAACTGGGAGCTGTGTCCTCGCCATGCCCTGGCAAACGTTCTACACACCGCTGCCAATGCCTTTGATGTCCATTTCCTCGTCGGATTTGAAGTCGAGTTCGAGATCCTGCACCGCCCCCCTTCTCCCTCCTCGTCCGAAGTAGGAAGCATTCCCCCCCTTGTCCCCTTTAGCACTGGACTTGGCCGCTTTGCCGCCGCTGGATTGCGTGACCCTGCGTTTACCCTGGTCGAGGAGGCTGTGCAGACATTACTGGATAGCGGAGTGGGTGTGCAGGCGATTCAGACGGAGGGACGGCGAGGTCAATATGAGATCTCTCTCGGACCGCAGTCGCCGCTCGACGCCATCGATGAGCTAGTCCTGGTCCATGATACGCTGAAGGAAAGCTTTACCCGGCACGGGTATATCGTCACAATGGCGCCTAAGCCAATCGCCGGTCGTAGGCAAGCCATCGGACAGCATACCCACGTATCGATGCGCTCAGCCACAGCTGCCGCAACCCCAGCAGAGCAAGAATCGTTTTTGGCCGGAATTCTGGCAAGGCTTCCGATGCTTTGTTCCGTTTGCTTGCCATATGAACTGTCTTACGAGCGTGTACAGCCCTATCTCGGCGGGGACGAGGTGGCCTGGGGGACGGAGAACCGTGAGGTACCTATCCGTCAGATTGGACCGGGTCATTGGGAACTGCGCTGTGTGGACGCTACCGCCAACATGTATTTGGTGCTGGCGACTGTGTTGAGTGCCGGGCTGCTGGGTCTCCAGGAACAGGAGCCTCTACGCTGGCGGGATACTGCATTCCCAGTTAAGGGGACATGTCAGGACTGTGTGGATGGGACAAGTAGGAGTAACGGGACAAATGATACAGTAGAAAAGACAGCTGCACACCCGCGAGAGCTACTCCCACAAACTTTAGAGCTTTCTTTACATGCGCTCGAACATGGGGAAAGATTGGAGGAGATGGAAAGCATTATGGGAAGCCGGGTCCTTCGGCATTACCTCTCTGTTAAGAAATATGAAGCGTGCAAGGTCCAGGAGATGGATCCGCAAATGGCGAGAGACCTGTTGACGGAGTTGTTCTAAGATTCAATTAATGTGACTTACTTTGGTCTCCCAGGTTTGTGGAACTACATAGTTTTAGTTCCCCCTCAAAAGTTCAATAAATAAAGTTGTAATTTATCGCTTTCAATAGTAGTATTGTCTTAGGGTGATCGGCCCGCTCATATGCCCGGTTGTTACAAACTTGGTGAGAAGGCTGGTGATCATTCATTTGGGTGCTGGGCGCTCGCTGTGGCAAGGCCTATTATTTGGGTAAAAAGGATAAAAAGGATATGGGGCCCGATTAGGTACCAAGATTAGATGATCGTGATAGAATATCCCTTGCTTAGATGAGTCCCGCTTTAGATGGGTCCCGTACATACAATCATGATTACCGCCCCCTGCGTCTGGTGTATGTCAATCGAAATTCTGAACAGGAACGCGAGGTCAAAATAGCAAACCCCCTTCAGACTCCGAATCGAGTCGCCAGGAGTCGAATCCTCATGATGACGGAGGCAGCAAAAACGGAGTCGTCTTCTGGATTGCAAAGCCGAGAGAATGAGGAGGATGCTCCAGTGTACTGTGCGCTGTCCGAAAGGGAGAAGATCGGGTCAATCATTGTCGCGTCGATGATCTCGTTTCTCAGCCCTGTCTCCGGCAATATCTACTACCCAGCAATTGATGCCTTGTCTCGAGACCTTCATGCTTCCAGAAACACAATCTATCTGACCATCACAGTGTACATGGTACGTCTCCCTGTCAACGTGAAGAGACATAGGAAGAAGAATCTAATTACTTGAATGCGACCAAAAACAGATTGTGCAAGCCTTTGTTCCGCTCCTCACAGCCAGTTTCTCAGATCAAAATGGCCGCCGGCCAATATTCATTACCTGTCTTGCCGTGTATATCTGTGTGAATATCGGACTATGTCTACAGAATAGCGTACCTGCTCTTTTTGCCCTTCGGTGTTTGCAGAGCGTGGGTAGCAGTGGTGTCTCCATCGTGGCTACTGCCACAATTACCGATCTAATCACTCGTGCGGAACGAGGGAAGTACATGGTCTACGCATCGCTGGGGTTAACTTTGGGGCCGGCCGTGGGACCCTTGTTGGGAGGTGTGCTCACGCAGTTCCTGGGATGGCGGAGCATCTTCATCTTCCTCGCAATCGTGGCAGCCGTTCTGATCGTTCTGGTCATGGCTTTTCTTCCCGAGACCTGCCGGGCCACCGTAGGCAATGGTAGTATCCCTGCGCCCTGGTGGAATCAATCCGGTCTGCAGTGGCTGCGACAATCTTCTTCAGCCCATAGGAAGACTGCGGAGGATCACCGGACACTACTTACCTTCCGCCGTCGGCCGTCCCTCTGGGATAGTATCCGAATCATACGGCAAAAATCGACTGGCCTGCTAATCTTGGCAAGCACGATGCTCTCGTGTGGCTCAGTGTTAGTCCTGGCCAGCATCCCCCCGCTTTTCGAGGCGCACTATCACTTCAACGCGTTGGAGGTAGGCCTCTGCTATATTCCCTACGGGGTAGGGGGGCTAACCGCACGGTGGACCATGGGCACTCTGGCGGACCGCAACTACAACCGATGTGGGCGCCAGGAAGGCATCACGATCGTGCGCAACCAGCAGACCTCTGAACAGCTACGAGCGATGCCGCTGGAGAGAGCGCGCCTGCAGCTTGCGCTGCCTATGCTTTATGTATCTGGAGTACTCGTGCTAGTGTACGGATGGATTATGCAGGAGCGGGTGCATGTTGCGGGCCCCTTGATCTTACTGTTCCTCCTCGGAAATGTCATCACTGGTACGCGCAACGGTCTGGTCATGTTGATCATAGACCTGCACGCCCAGCGTCCTGCCACAGCCAGTGCGTCTCTTGGGTTCTTCAGGTCCCTTACCGGTGCCGGCGTGGTGGCAGGGGTGGTGCCGTTGATCCAAGCCATTGGTGTGGGATATTCCGCCACCCTAGTTGCGGCAGTCTGGTTGATAGTATCTCCTGCATTGTACGTGGTGTATCGCCACGGGCATGACTGGCGACAGAAGGGGCATTCGTGACAGCCGGAAAGTGCTTCGTTAACTTTGAAATATTTTTGCGTGTCTCAAAAATAATAATAGAAGAGTACCCGTCTCTAGGAGACTTGTTTCGGATGTCAGACCACTCTTCCAATTGCAGTCAGGAGTAGGTCCTAGTTATGATGATGCTGTCGAAGCTAATACCACTTTCGTCTTTTCCACATGTGCAGGTCCTAAGCGGAGTGTCATTATAGTATGTGTGTGTGAAATCATTTACCCCGACCCATCGCTGAGTCGAAACCCTGAATTATGGTACAAGTGTGATGATTAAGTTTAATCTATGGGAATTACCTATCCAGCTACTTGTAACTAGTTACAATAGCTTATCTCCCTTCTGCCACACCTACAGACCTATATACATTACGTCACCTTGGGATCTAACCTTCTGGCAGAGTGATATGCAGGCTACCACAACCATATATATCTTGTATGACATATAAAGTGCTCCACTCCCTAAAAGGAACTTGGAGCCTCGTTGAGGCCTATTGTGGCTGCATTACCGCTCTCGTTGTCAGGCTGCCCTCACGGCGCGACACTTTGAACCCGTTGTGACACCCCACCAAGTCCAGCACCATCGAAGTGGTGCTGGCCCACGAGGCAGTGCTTGAATTACCTGTCTCACATTCTCCAGACCCGCTAGCAGCAGCGACACGCTACGGGACGCGTCGTCTACTTTCTGCCATAGTGTCTATCCCAATCTTGGGCAATCCACTGGGACATGGACTACCGTTTCTTGTGCACCGCACACGCACTGGTCGGCTTCTTGGAAGCGGAATCGTTTAGCATATGTCGACAGCCAGCAGTGGCCCGTTCGCAGTTTAATGAGCAGGTAGGATCGATTCCTCGGAGTGCTCCATAAAGCTGTCTTGTGCATTTAGAGGGGACACCGGCATCTACCCCACGAGGGCAGTTACGTGCCAAAGTTAAACAAGGGAAAGGAAGGAGAATGCTTTTGTTTTGTTTACTTTGTTCGTCGGGGAAGGCGCGTACCTACACGCACCTATTCAACCTTGGAAGGCAGTCAGGATGCTCAGCATGAGCATGTGTTGCACAGTCTATCGGGACTCTCAATTCATTGTCTCCTCACTTGAGACATCTCTCACCTTAGGTACCTCTCTCTCACTTCAGATATCCACTATTGTGGATTGCCCCGAAGATGATTCGTTGTAAGAGATAGTCGGAATATATTTGTGCATAGATATGTCAAATGTCAAACTCCGTGGTCTAGCAACTTAGCTTCATGAATAAGCAATCTGTCAATAGACCCTGCGTTTCCACCTCTCTATAGATCTTTCTTTGACAAGATACTACTAGTGATCTATGGTAAATGAGGTTGAAACACAGTAAGAATTTATTGTCATTAGAAAAAAAAGCCGATCCATCCTAGCTATCCTACCTCAGTAAAACTGGGAAGGGCTCGCTTAAAAACCGAGACTTCTCGAACCAGAGAGACTATTTGCATAAAACGTCAGTGTTCTATATTAGAAACACTGATATCAATTGTATGCAATCATGATTGGTAGTATATCAAGCACACTAGTCAATCATGGGAAAGAGTTTTACTGCTCTAAGTGCGATGATCTGCTGCTCTGCACTCAATAACTCGGTATGTCTATGGCCCAGCGGATCACATGTGAGCCGCATGCAGAACGCAGACAAACGGAGAAAGTGCATAATAGCAGAGTTGCCGAAGTCACCGCAGCCATGAGCAGTATACTCATACGGGAAGATGGATAATAAGGGATATATGAGGTCGAACTTGCGTTGCGGCGAGGGATGGCCTTGTGGGCGGTGAGAGCCGCCCAGTTGTTTCCAGCGTGGGCCGCCATGTTCTGGGCAGCGCCCGTAATGTTGGCGGGGGCGGGGCCAGCAATGTCCGGGGCGGGGGCGTCCATGTTGGGGGCGCGGGTGGCCATGTTCTGCGCAGCGCCGGCCATGTTTCCCGGGTCGGGGTGAGGAGGGGGGGACCTGACGTAAATCCACTGTCTCGAACCCCTAGCCGGGGTCTTAGCGAGGGCCTCTCGGAACCGTCTTTGAAGGTAGAGAAAAGATGGAGGAAAGATAGACCGAGGGAAAGAATCGGTTAGCATGGGATATAGCCCGCCCTAGGCTATAAACAAGAACCATTGGTTTTTGTTATGGTCTAGTGGTAAAATACGCCGTATTTTATTCCCCAAGACATTTAGAAAGACATTTAGAAAGATTTTAGGATTCGTAGTATTAGTTGACACGATGAGCGGGGTCTGACCCCAATTCTGAATCGAGGTCGTTGGACCAGATCTCTGTTAAGTCTGCGTATGGCTTATTCGGTGGTGCAATACCCCGAAGGGCGCATGGGAGCTGTCTAAACTAGGACGGTGTTTGCTTGGGCTACAGTCAGGGTCACATACGTAGCAGACGACAAGGGCAATTTGCGGTGCGCCGGAATAAGCGCGAAGGCCTTCACCCCAGTGGTTCGGGTTTGTCCGAATCCGACATGCGAGCATATTGATTTGGGAAGGAAACCCCAGATTGACGATGGCCACAAGCCACGCCCTTGGTTGTTCAGATATGCTTACATTCATTCGGACTAAGTGATACCGGGCTACTCCTGCCATGTGAGATCGGGTGAAATGCCACCGGAACTGTACAGTTCCAAACCCTAGAGTGTCAGGGCAGGCAAAATGAGATCTCTGAAGCATTCTGCCGTCTGCCGATCGTAACCCTTTCCTCAACTGGTATAGTTTACGAGCAAAATCGGGTATTGAGGAAACTCCCTCGAGATCCTTTCACGGGGAATCAACAATTTCACCCAGTAGCAAAGTTCCTTTAAATTGTCGGCTCCCGTAGCTCTCAGTAGCATAGGTCTCATTACCAGACCTCAGGATGCCGCCTTCTCATTTTTTGCTAGCTGTCTTGAGCCTCCTCCCACCAATCCAGGCCTCGCCCTCCCCCCCAGTTCCCGAGTCCATCCAAGTGGTCGAGCTACCCTTACCCCCTGTCATTTCCAGCAGCGCTGAAGGGGCCTGTACGGCAGCCATTAACCCGCGCCGGACCGGATGCATCAGTCAAGTCTTTGAGGAGTTTCAAGCGGGCGATTTTACACCAGACAGCAACCATGTCATCGTCAATATCAAATTTGTTGGCGCTCCTGCTGCCCCAGACCCGGCAAGCACCTACTCAGGCGAACAGGTGATCCTTGTCAAGGCGGATGGCACGACCTTCCCAAACGGAGATACTTGGAAGTGCCTAAGCTGCGGAGTGCCTGCTAGCAATGCACAGTCACTGGATCCCGAGAGAGACTATCCCCATGTCGCTCGGAATGGAAAACAGGCCCTTTGGGGCCACAATATACTCGACTGCGAAGCACCTCTGATCAGCAGCGAATGCACTCCGAATAAAACCCATATCTATCCCATCCACTGGCCGACATCGGTCGACGGCTCTGGCAGTGGTGGTACCCCTAGAGAGATGCGTCTTCATCCCGATGACATCCATATGGGTTGGAGCTCATTCACAGCAACTGGTGGGCAACATGCGTATTTCGGTCGACTTCAATTCAACCCGAGTCCCACAACAGGGTTGCCCCTTGCACCACGATATGACCTGGTGGACGTGAACATTCTCATTCAGCCAAACGGTGCGGCCCCTATCATGGCCAATGGGACCGAGCTTCATTTACATGACGAGGCTATATCTGTTGGAGAGTTGCGTGGTTTCAGCGGGGCTGGCGACGAGATCCTCTACCTTGGGTCACCGCGGGAAGCCAATAACCTCGACGTCTTTGCTGTTCACGTTATTACCGGGGCTGTCCGTCGCCTGACCAGCCATCCCGAATACATCGATCCAATTGCCTTTTCCCACGACAACAATTGGTTCGTCGGTATGGACACCCGTGGCTCTAACCGTCAGATGTGGATGGCCGGCATGCGGTATATCCCACCCCTGATCGACCTTGTTACGGTAACAGCAGCCTCTTCTACTCGTAACAACGGCGCCCGGCGTTTCTTCCAGCCCATATTGATCGACCGCCATGGCGACCGTGGTGAGTATTTCGGCCAACAAATTAACCTGGCCGGGGACGGCAGCAACGGTAGTATAAACGATCCTAACTGGAATGGCCGAGCTGATCCTGCATTCTCTCCTGATGGCACCAAGATTGTTTATTGGCAGGCGCTGGTCAGCTCTCCTGCCTGCGGGGGTGCCAACCCTTTGACCTGCCCTGTTTCCAGTGCGCCTGGGGGTCGAACATACCGTGTCATGCTAGCCAGTCTCACCGAACGCCAGCCTCAGGACCCTGCTCCCATTTTTAAAATTCCAGACACAATTCCCTGGGCGACGTTGTTCCCTCCAGGTACTTCGGTTCCTACTCAGTATACTTTGCCAGCAGGTAACTATACGCTTCATGGAAAGGTTCACGGAGTGGCGCGCGCGAGAATCACTGCGAACCCGACGTATGGTGGATACGAGACTGTCTCTGTGGAGTATGAGGATTATTCGGACGACAATGGCCATGTCATAAATGGGACCGAGTCTGTCACCCTTACCATCACACCGACGGACCCTTGGCTGAGCAAGCTTGACTGGTATTCAGACCTGTACGAGACTGGAGTCGTTACAGCAACCAAGAGGACTGGACCTGGTGGATTTCAATTGTCCATCAATGCTCAGACAAACATCTTTGAAGCAGAGGGCACATTGACTACTACTATAGACGGTATTGTCTATAAGCAGCCTGCAAATGGCACTTGAGGGCCTGGTGATCCATATGGAGCTATGAGTCAATGGAACGACATTATGTACATATTCATCTATCCTGAAACAGCTTTCGGTTAGCTCCCATAGTAAATTATGCGAACCATATGTCCTCTCTCCCCGTATTTGAAACCTGACACCGCTGAATGTCCGATGACCCTCTATGGAAATGTCATTAGCCATTGAATATCATAATAGCGTGGGATAACTGCCACTTCTCTGATACCAAGCAACCACTTCCTCCTTGTCCCAATTGAAGATCTTGTGCGATAGTAATTGACGCTTTTCCATAACCTTCGCGAGTTGCTCAAACCGAAGAGAATGAAGGCCAATCGATTCGAGCCCTTTCCTTGGGTTTTTGGTCAATAAATTTAAGTTTGCGGGGGCGGGGTGGGGGTTGTTCAACATGATACACCCAATTCTTGCCCCCAACAGTTGTAATGGAGAAATCCATACAACCTGTGCAGAGCCAAGAACCTCGGAATAAGCCGGAATGAGGGCCCGGCAAGAGCGGGGTTATGAATTGGTAACCTGACATGTCAACCATCTGGGAGCGCCAACACGCTAACCGCATGTTGGTGGGCTTTACACGGCTACCATAAGACTGGCCATATAACGGTCTGACCGACTGTTCCAACCGCACCTCCGAGGTTCCATTACGATGCCTATGCCGAGTTGTGGTACGTCCATGCCGCTGAGTCGCTGCTTTGCTGCGGGAACCTTCACACCTCAGCCCGCGGAGTATTGCGCCTAATAACCATGCCGTTGCGACGGTCGCATGCGAAATCTCATCACGGCTGCACCCAGTGCAAGAAGCGCCGGATCAAATGCGATGAGACTCGCCCCTGTTGTGGATCTTGCCAGAAAAAATACCTCTCATGCACATTCAACAGTTATCATCCGGAACGCCTTCGCCTTTGGGGCTCTGCTGAGACAGGGCCAGGACAGGAAAATGGAAGCGCAGCCATTCTGCCCCTGGGCAAACTCGAACTCTTGCATCATTGGCATACGGCAATAGCTCTGTCGCTGTCCCAGAACGAGGCCCTGATTGAAGTTTTCCAGACACATGTTCCCCGCAAGGGACTGACCCACCCATTTCTCATGCACAGTATACTTGCTATCTCGGCACTACACCTATCTCGGGGATCTTCTGATTCCCACGCCCAAAGATACACTGAAATCGCAATACAACATCACAGCCTCGCGTTGTCTCTTTGTGCGCCGCTTCTAAGCAACGTGACATCAACGAACTGCCACGCCGTCTTCGCCTGCTCCGTTCTTATCACCAGCTTCTCCTTTGCTTACCAAGGTCTGAATACGATGTTTGAATCCATGAGTGTGAATGAAGTGATAGAGGTCTTCAAGTTAGTCCGTGGGAGTGCTTCAATTGTAGAAAAAGCTCGGCCGTGGATCGAGCAGGGTGATCTGAGGCTCTTGTTGAACTTCACACGGTGTGCAAAACAAAGCCAAAGACCAAAGCAAGTCCACCAAGTTTATGCTCAGATAAAAGCACTGCTTGAACAACAGGCAGATGACGGCCAGTCTCAATGTCAGAGTGGTGCACGGGCGGTCGTACTAAGCTCTATCAAGCATCTCCTTGATGCCTTTGACGCCTTCATCGCTAGCGAGAACCAGATGACAATCCTAGCATGGCCTGCTATGATAGATTCCCAATACCTGGATCTAGTATTGAAAAAGGAACCGAGGTCTTTAGTGACGCTCGCTCACTACGGGGCACTTCTACATGTCATGGCCAAGGCTTGGTGGATGGAAGGCTGGGGAAAGATTTTGGTCAATCTTACCGCGGAGCACTTGGACAAGTCTGTGCAGTCTGCAATTGCCTGGCCTCTAGCTGTTATCAATAATGGAGGGTCTGGAGAGTAGCAAGCATCGCGTTTCTTACCTTTTCTGGTATCATTTTCGAAGTCGTATGGAGACAAGTGGAGAACCATAAACCCAAATCTCTATAAACACGGCTGTGTTTTCTCTATTCATTTCTACGGATGGCAACAGAGACACTCGGGACAATTGAATGCGAAGGCAGCCATATTGCAGAATAATGTTAGAATCTGGCTTGCGGGCTTTAACCGCATGTCTGTCCACCGCATTTTCCGCCATTCGCTGCCGATCGGCATTAGTGGACGAGTCGAAACTTGTGGATCTCACATCCGCATCCGTATTCGTATAGAGTTGTGACAGGCTAATGGACAATACCTCGTGAATTAGCAATGGCATCGATTTAAATCTATTCAATGGAGCTGGAGCTCTATTATAGGGGATAAATAAAAAGTAAAGCGGTTGAACCAAATAAAATAGAAATATACTATCTAAAACACCTCCCTGCTCATGATTTAGGAGGCAAAGGCTTGAGAGGCCACTCGTAGTCTCGTACAAAGGTCGTTTCAAATGTCCACTCTCCAGGACCAACAGTCTTCTGCAGATCTCCCGACCCCTTCGGCGCAATAACCTCACAGGCCATGCCGTGTGGAACAGTTACTTTCAACTCCAGGCTGCTTTGCTTCGCAGATAAATTGGACGTCTTCCATGAACAGGAAACAAGCCCCATGGGAGTCTCATGGGAAGCCGAGGCCCCCGAGAGTTCAGCGCCTATGCAGGGCGCGATGCGGCACTTCGTCCATCCAGGTCCGGTCCTCTGTAAACCCGCGACCCTATCGAACAAGAACTTGGCGATCGAGCCAAATGCATAGTGATTAAAAGAAGTCATTTCTCCAGGGTTGACGGACCCGTCTGGAAGCATGCTATCCCACCGTTCCCACATAGTAGTAGCCCCCATGGTCACTGGGTACAACCAGGAAGGACAAGCCTTTTCAAGAAGCATTGCATAAGCGACTTGAATATGCCCTGTCAAGACAAGGGCTTCGCACAGGAATGGTGTTCCGGCAAACCCTGTGCCGATTCGAAAGTTGTTCTTCTTCACAAGATAGGCAAGGCGACTCCCAGCTCGCTCTTGTTGTGTGGGTGTCAAGAGACCGAAACAGATCGCGAGGGAGTAGGCTGTCTGGCTGTCGGATACAAGGCGACCGTTTGTGGTCACATATTCCTCTTGGAATTGGTTCTTGGCCACTCGAGACTCTTCTTCATAACTCAACTTGTCTTTGTCTTTGCGAAGGAGGCCAGCGATTTGGGCCATGAGCTCTAAGCTGTGAATCAAAAACGCATTTGCCACGAGTTGTGCATCAGTTTTGCCCTTCCAGGGTGCATCAGCCGGAGCATCCGGATCTAGCCAGTCCTAGAGTACCGTGTCAGCAACTGAGATAAATAAGGCTAATGGATAATGGATGCTGCCTAGGTATCTTACCCCAAGCTGGAAGATACTAGTATCCCATAGATGAGTGCAACCTTCCTTGTTTCTGGGTAGTCTCTCCATCCAAGTTGTCATGCTCTCATACTGTTGTTCAAGAATCTCGACAATGCCAGTCTCCTCATAAAGTGCCCACGGTGCCAGAATCGTAACATCATGCCATATAGCGCAAGGCTTTCGGCGACACCAAACTGGATCTGGGAGTGTAGCATTGGGAGTGACCATGGCGGGGACACCATCCAGAACCTGTTGGTCATGCCAAACATCGATAAGCCAGTTGCTGAGAAAGTCGAAACAATGAAATAGCAAAACCGCCGTAGGAGCAAAAAGAGCGAGATCCCCAGACCAGCCTAATCGCTCGTCTCGCTGGGGACAGTCGGTGGGCACTGCGAGGAAGTTCCCCTTCATTCCCCAGCGGATATTATGATACAGCTGATTGAGCAACTTGTCGGAACATGAGAATGAACCGGCTTCTTTCATATCTGTATGACATACAACCGCCTCGACTGAGTCCATCAAACTGAGGTCGCCCTCCCATCCGTCGATCTGGGTATATCGAAATCCGTGGAATGTGAATCGTGGCTCATAGCTCTCGCCATCCTCATCACCTTTCAGAATATATTCGTCGACGGAATCACATTGACGAAGTGGCCGCGTGCAAATCTCTTGATCTTCCAAGACTTCAGCGTGAGATAAGGTGATCTTGTGGCCGCGAGGACCTTTGATATTTCTCAGTCTGACGTATCCAACCAAATTCTGACCAAAGTCGACGATCGATTTTCCCGACGGAGATAGGATATATTGAAGTGGCCTGATAGTTTCGATTCTCCTGACTGGCTCTCCAATTCCAGTCGTGACCTTGATTTGCTTCGGCAAAGGAGGCATGCAAAGGACGGGCACCCAATCATGAGCACTATCGGTAGGCCCCTCAGGCGCAATAGTCGACCAGTATGGGACCTCGTGAGTCGCGTCGTATTTTTCTCCGTTATAAATCTCCGCCCGTTGGATAGGACCTTTTTTCACGAACCATGTACTGTCCGTAGGTATGGTTTCAATAATGGCGTCGGGGTAGTAGAGGTCTAGCTGCCCTATCAAGGCTGGGTGAGGCCCCCAGATGTTCCGGTGGCCACCTTCAAAGCCAATACGTCCACAGAACCAGCCTTCAGCAACACGAACTCCAATACAATTCCTGCCTGGGGACAGCAGGGATGTGATATCGTATGTCTGGTATTGTAGTCTGCCGTCGTAGGCTGTCCACCCCGGGGCCATGAAGTGGTCACCAACACGATGGCCATTGATCTCTGCCTCATAGACTCCCTGAGCAGTGATTGAAAGTCTGGCCTGCACGCAAGGTTGAACTTCAAATTCTTTGCGAAACAGCCATTCTGCATCCGGTCCAGATGCAGTAGGGCCCCAGGGAGCGGCGATTCGGCTACAACGCCACTTTGTTTCTTCCCGGCTATGGCCTGTGACCTTGGCAGCCACCGAGCCAACTTGTTGAGAGTGTAGAGAATCCTTCATTCTGAAAGTGCTGGGCGGATGATCATTCCCGGGCATGATGCGGCTGGTAGTAGCACTACGGTGGCTTGAAGGGATGATGAGGAAGCTGCGCCTAGATCTAAACAGGACCATCTAATAATGTATTCCTCGGTGTGGTAATGTCCCGAAACGTTGCGATGAGAAGGCGGGGACCTGCGACTGGGGACATGAATTACCCCGAGGTCAGCAAGGAGGGAACACCCCAATGCCGCGCTCAAAAGCCGACCCCTGCCTGTTCCATCAAAATCTTGTCTTTTTAACCGGCGTGTTCCCGAATTTCCAAGAACGCCACATCATTTCAGATCACCTGCTCAAGTATTTCCAACCTCAAGATGAATGTGAACATGTTCCAGGCTCAGGACACTGTCCCCCAAGCCGACAACAAAGAATGGGTTAGCGAGCCTCGCGAGATAGAAGAGCTACCTCTGCCTCCTGGTTTCTTCTGGGGCACGGCCACTGCTGCATACCAAATCGAGGGCGGTGCCTCCCAGGATGGCAAAGGTAAATCTATCTGGGATACGTTCAGTCACCTCGAACCGTCACGTACCAATGGCGAAAATGGCGATGTGGCTTGTGATCACTACAATCGCATGTCCAAAGATGTGGACTTAATGGCCTCGTACGGGGTGGACGTGTATCGACTCTCCATTGCTTGGTCTCGTGTGATCCCCTCGGGTGGACGCAATGACCCGGCCAACGAAGATGGGATCTCATTCTACAACAGGCTCATCGATTGCCTGCTGGCGCGAAATATCGAGCCAATCGTCACTCTATACCACTGGGATGTTCCGCAGGAGCTCTATGATCGATATGGCGCTTTCTTGAACACAGATGAGTTCATGGCTGATTTTGAGCGATTTGCCCGGTTGTGCTTCTCTCGCTTTGGCGATCGTGTCAAGAAATGGGTTACTTACAACGAGCCATACATTATCTCAGTCTTTGGCCACCATAGCGGTGTGCTTGCTCCTGGCCATAGTGCTACTACTGGTCACGACACGCGGACAGAGCCATGGCGCGTTGGTCATACTATTGTTCTTTCCCATGCAGCTGTCGTGAAGATCTACGCGACAGAGTTCCAACCTGTTCAGAATGGCTCTATAACAATCGTGCTCAATGGCCACTTCTATGAGCCATGGGAGGCAAATAGCGAGGAACACAAAGCCGCTGCCCAACGCAGACTGGAGTTCTACATTGGCTGGTTCGCAGACCCCATCTTCCTGGGAAAGGACTACCCCGCCCAAATGCGTGCCCGACTTGGCTCTCGGCTACCAGAGTTCTCCACTGAGGAGATGAGACTCCTCCGAGAGACAGCGCCAATCAATGCCTACTATGGGATGAATCACTATTCCACTAAGTTTGCTCGTGCTCTTCCAGATCCACCGGCCGAAGATGACTGCTCGGGGAACGTGGAGGAAGTCGCCACCAATAACGAAGGAAAGATGCTTGGACCCGTTTCTGGCATGTCTTGGCTTCGCGTTGCCCCGGATGGATTTCGAAAGCTTCTGAACTGGGTCTGGGATCGTTACCACCTGCCAATCGTCATTACAGAAAATGGCTGTCCATGTCCAGGCGAAAGCCAGATGACCCTCGAGCAAGCAATAAACGACACTTTTCGGATACGGTATTTTGGCCTTTACCTGGATGCTATCTCGCGGGCCATTTATGAGGATGGTATCATAGTACAAGGCTACTGCGCATGGAGTTTCATGGATAACTTTGGTATGTTCAATTCCCTCACCACTTATTTTTCGTATGATTGATATCCCTAGAATGGTCGGCTGGATATGGCGCGCGCTATGGTATCACACATGTCGACTACGATACACTCGCCCGGACTCCTAAGAAGTCTGCCTACTACCTCAAGCAGTCATTCAATGAACGACGAAAAAGGCGTAATTAGTAGAAACAGGACCAATATCTCAAATAGAATATCTCAAAGCATCATCGTTGTCGTTCAATTCAAAATTTAGTACCTAAGTAGCAAGGAAAAGGAACGATCAGCACCTTCAGTGCCGTAATATAAAGCTACCAAAAGCTTCACTAACCTGACTGGCAAAGGTGAGGGAATGGGAGAACTCCCTTTTGCGGCTTCTTTTTGATGGCATTGTTCTGTCATACTGATACGCACCACTTACATATGTAGGTAAGCTTAGATCCGTATTAATAATAGTTCCTGGGTCGCGACTCACAGAACATCACAAGAATACAACCATCTTACACATACTACAAGCCTGCCAAATTAATCGGAGACCAGGTTCTAGACCGTTTTACCCTTGTGGCGCCACAAAACCCCTAGGAACGCCAAGGGTCGTGAACTATACCTCAAGAGGTATAGTTTACTGAAGGCCCTGTACCTCCAACTAAATCCTTTCACTCGTTTCTTGAAAACAAGCGGGTCCTCACAGTCCGAGTGCCCTTTGGCTTAGTATCGCTGTCGGCTATTGAGTCGTTTACGACGCCAGCAGCTAACGCAAATGTGATCTGGAATTAGCCTCTTACTGGTTGCACGGGACGCCACGGGTATCTCCGCCTGCGAGGATGTGACCAGACGTTGCGACGGTCGGCTATTGAAGAAAGCTATCCTAGTCTGGAGATTCATAACCAGGCAATCGTCTTACTTCGCTGAGGTCTGAGACACTGGGGAAGTTGCGGGGTTTGATGGTATCCACAAATTTTGACAACTCCGGGGTACTCCACGAATACTTCAAGTGAATATATCAGTTGAGTGGAAATGTTACAGTTTGGTTCGGGACAATAAAACCCGAGTTTGAGCTTAGCACTGGGATTCATTGTGTAGATGATGCGGTGACCAGACTTGTCAAGCACCAGCCTAGCCAAAGCCCTAGCTTTAAATTCCGAACACACCCACCTACCTCTTCCATATGGGATTAGAGTAGCCCACAGATTCACAGCAATCAGTATTTAACATGGGATCAACACAGAAGGTTCCTACCGAGTCGATGGCTTCGGCACAGCATGAAGAGACCGTCGCAGATGAGGGATTCAAGAAGTCTGACCCAACTTTTGATGCCGCGAACAAGGGTCAAGGAATTACTGGGTATGAAGAGTTGGGCATTTTGGAGACAATCAAAACGTTCAAGCTCTGCACACTCGTGTGTTTTGCAATGGCCTTCAGTGCGGCAACCGATGGGTACCAGATTGGGTGAGTCAGGGTCTGTGACCTTGATTTTGATCTTGCTATATCTGACTTGACCTTTCTTCCAGAATCAACGCCAGCATTATTGCCAATGCTGGATTTGTCACCCGCTTCGCCACCACTGTTGGTAAAACGGGAAAGCCTGCCCTCGAATCGCCTATACTAAGTGGCTGGAGCTCGATCATGTCCTGCGGTCAGATCGTTGGGATGACCACACTACCATTTCTCTCCAGTAGATATGGCAGAAAGATCGCAATGTACACCTACTGGGTGATCCTGGTGGGAAGTGTGCTTGCCGAGAGTCTTGCGAGGTCATGGCAAGTCTGGATGGTAGGGAAGCTCCTGGCTGGGATTGGAGTGGGGTGTCTACAATCAACTGTACCAACATATATCTCAGAAGTTGCACCTGTTCGTATTCGTGGAGGCTTGTTAATGTGCTACAGCTTCTGGTGGTCCTTGGGTTCGTTCTTTGCCCAAGTCGCTCTCCAACATTTATCAAGAGCTGACCCAACCGACTACCTGACACCGATCTATACCCAGTGGGCTCAAATCGGGCTCATGCTTTTAATCTATGTCTTTGTCCCAGAATCTCCTGCTTGGTGCGTGAATGCCGGTAAGGTCGACCGAGCCAAGAAGGAACTCCTCAGGCTCAATCGCGGAGTACCCAACTACAACTTGGAGCGGCAATATCAAGTGTTGGCTATGGCCATCGAGCATGAACATGCAGTTGCAGCCGAGCAGCGTCGAGAGAAGTGGTACGGGATTTTCCAGGGTACAAATGGCCTTCGCACTGTGATTTCCTGCTGGACCAACCTCACCCAGCAGTTGATCGGTCTTAGCCTCTTCGGGACGTTCGGTACCTATTTCTTCCAACAGGCTGGACTAGCCGACCCTTTCAAGATCAAGGTTATTACAACCTCAATTCAAATTGCAACAGTGCTCGTCATAATTATGGTTGCCGACCGCTTGGGAAGGAGATTACTCGCCTGCTCGGGGACTACACTCTGCTGGGTGTCATGTGTGGGCATTGGTATCATTGGGGTTTGTCCTCAGGTGAAGGCATCGACATATATTTTCATATTATTTGCTTGCTTATGGAGTAAGTACACCCTATTAATTTGGAAGAGCAGCTATTAACATGATATTCTCAGACTGCGGACTGGCTACCAATGGTGCGACTGGGTGGGGGTATATCGGAGAAATATCATCGCAGCGCCTCAGGCCTTATACTGCTGGCTTTGGAGCGGCAGTAACTTGTGTCGCTGGTGTTGTGATGAACGTTCTTGTCCCATACATGACAAATACCAATAAATGGAACTGGGGCTTGAAGACCGGGTGGTTTTATGCAGGCGCTGGCCTTCCGTTTGTTGTTGGCATGTGGATGCTGATTCCTGAGACTGTTGGGTAAGAGCTTGAGCATGACACCGATGAAATATTCTTGCTTGGCTAATCTTTTTTTAAATCTAGACGATCTGCTGCCGAGTTAGATGAACTGTTTGAGCGGAAGATCAAGCCCTGGCGATTTCACAAGACTGAGACAGCCACCCAGCGGCTTGTGCAAGTCAACCAATTTGAGAAAGAACTAGGCCAGACGAAGTAACCTTTGATGATCGGTGACGGAACTGAGGTTTTCTATCGACGGATCGTATTCAAGCATACCACGTGTGCCAAGATAGAAACGATGTACAGCTACAGGACAATCAGAATAGCATCACTACCTAATGCCGGTGTCACTTACAGCTAAGTAACTGGTCACAGTTAGATTAGAATATGTTGTGGCTCGATGCCTTAGACATGAACCCCTCATGTTATATCGTTGTTATATGTAGGGATCATTATCTATATTAACGGCTCCTACTCAGTTCTATTGTCGTTAGGCCTTACCACATGGTATTAAACCATGGTCTCCAATGATAGATCAGAGAGTCTGCTGAAGCTACCTGACTTGAGTCAAGTGGCGTATGCACGGTGTAGTGCAACACCCTATCCAAAGCTCCCACATTCGAGACGGCCCGTTGTTACATGCCTATTACGGGGCTGATCTCGCCATTTGCTGTTTTGTTAGCCCACCCGACGGCAGTGATTTTGCCTGGCCGGGGATGGAACCCTCGCAATCCATCCTAAACAACCCCCGCTGGAGTTCTTCGAGTCCCACAACCGCCTCCAAATTTCTCATCCGAACGTCTCTGCACACCGAGATTCCGTCTTCGTCCCTATTTGATATGATCGGCCCTTCGTCTCCAACTAAGCCTGGCGCCAAGTGGTGCGACCTACAGCAATTTCTGTCCTCCCGCTAACGGCTGGTTATACGAAATGGCGTGGTGTCCTAGGAGCAGGTGCACCACCAACCATGTACAACAGTACATGGATAACCTCCGGCCCAAACAAGGGTCAATTTTGCTTAGGGACATCCGTTAAAGGCTACCACTGCGATATCAACCCCAGAATATGGGCAGATGAAATCAGGAAGGACCACCAGCGATGGGCTTGCACTCCTTCGCAGTGCCCGCGACTGGTAGCCTTCGGGCGCATTAGAACATACCATGCAAGAATATGACATCTTCGAATCGCCAATCATTATGGTGGGTTGCCATATATTGTAGAGACCGTACTGGGAAGAAGGCAGGGTAAGATAAGTCTCAAATTGTAGTGAAATGTGTTCAAAGATTTGTTATTCAATTGATGGTATCGTCCCTCATTCCATGCAGAGCGAATTAGTTGTGAATGTATGGTATATCATAGTTTAACTACTAGCTTGCCGTCAAATCCCTGTGCCTGAGAAAAGTAATAGCCGCGCTGATTACTGACCACCATCTTGTCGGTACCCTCCTCAATGTAACTGACATTGAAGTGCGTATGGCCAAATGCCCATAATTTTACTAGCGGACTCTTCCAAGCCTCCTGGCCCGAGAGATCGCTGGCAAAGCCCGATGACAGCGGGCTGTTTTCATGCCTTGGATCAAGTGCCCGCCGATCTTGAGTAACTGGGCTATGGTGCGTAAAAACCACGATCTTGCGATGAGGCTCAGAGGTAGTGATATGAGAAACCTGTCCATTTAACCAGCCCAAATCTGCTTTGTGAGCAGCTGTGTGGTCGTCAACCGTCCAGTCCTTTATGTGGTAAAAGTCATTAAGACCATAGCTGACGTGCTCCTTATGGGCCTCGCTCACTCGCGAGAAGAGTGTGCACCCTAGGACAGTCACGTCTGGTGAGATATCGTAGCGAGTCTGATCCAAGAAGACGAAAGAACCCATAGTTTCTGTATGTCCATCTTGTTCTGTTGAACGCCGACGATCAACAGACGCCGAGAACTGATGGAGGACTTGCTTTGTCTCCTCCCAGTTCGAAAAATACGGCTCATGGTTCCCTAGCAGGAAGAAAACTATTTGGAATTGGCGCAACTGGGTTTCGATGAATGTGATGAAGCCTGAGTCCTTGACAACTCCTATGTCACCAAGGAGGGCAAGGTATGGCGCTTTGGGGGAGATCTTGAACACATCGTAGGCAGAAGGATTCTCTAGATGTAAATCCGATAATATCTGGAACGTGGACATCAGGACCGTACGAAGAGTGAGGCGAGTTTGCTCCTGGATGCTATGTTATGGATGGATGTCTGGGGGATATCAACCAACCAGATGCAATTCCAAGACCCGCCAAGTGTGGCTAAGTTATATGTGGCTGTGCTGAAATAATGTGGCGTAACACAGCCTCCCCGTCCCTCAATTATCTAAGCGCCAGGACATGCCCAGGTGCCTGGATGATCTCATAAGAACCCCTCCTTGGCTGAAGTCTGAAAATAGATTTATCTCCTTCTCCTATTTCAACAACCCTGATTTCGCTTGTTGCACTTAAGAGGTGTTTGCAAGTGTCTTTCTACAAGCTTATCAACCATTGTTACATGCACGACGTCATAACTGTATTATCAGCACCTTAAATTGCGGGCAACATACCAAGGTCGAAAGACACAAGCCCCTAATTGTCAGAGCGACCAACACGATGTCGAGCGCAGCAAACGATCCACGACTTCTGTACAGCGTCAATAATATCCGCGCTTTTCATATTCAAGATGGCGAGGAGCAGGACCTCACGCCATCCGGCCCTCAAACCCTATCACTGCTAATGGTCCCCACCAACACCGCCACTGCTGGCCCTGGGACAGATTGGCCTGAAGATTCACCGGAAGAGGATTTCTATCTTCATCTGTACCTCCCACCTGAGCTCGATCTTGCGATACCAGCGACCACACAAATCTTTCACCAACCTCCTGACAGTTATCTGATTCCCCGCTGGGACATGGGTCCCGATGCTGGCGCTTTCATTCGCATTCAGTTCCCTGGCATTGGCACAGCTCCCAGCAACGTATCTCAGGATGATATTGATACATTTGAATCCATCCTTGCGCAGTGCACTGCATTCCTTGAGCGCACCCCGCACACGAAAGCGCAGGACCATACTGTTTATAACCCGGCCGACTACGCACCTGGCGAGGGTTATATTGGGACCCCGGATACAAAGAAAGCAGATGCACATGGGAGAATCGTACTGGTGGATGAAGAAAACGGCAGTGTGGTTGGAGAGCTAGGAGATGGCTACAGTGTAGTTGAGGACGCCGACGTGAAGCCTGGTTCTAAAAGTAAGGTGTTGGATTATGATCGGATTCAATCAGCAACTGACAAGTATATCGCGAACAGGACCGGTAGGAATTGAACTCCCTGCAGAAGGCGGAGGCAACCAAGTCAGTGTCAGCAATGTCTCCGAAGAATACCTGGCAATGGCCCGGCACCCAGCATATAAGAACTCGACGCTCGTTCAGAGTTCAGCTACAGCATCTCGTCTGCTCGTGACTGGATCGACCTATCTGGCAAATGCCATCGCAAGTGGCGCGGAGAATTTCCAAAAGAAGACTCAGCCGAATGTCAAGCCTCTCAAATTCTCAGACGCTACTCACGCGCGCATCCGCAAGGTCGGCACCTTATCCAATGGAGCAGCAGATATTTCTGCTCGCACAGTTGGACAGGTCGGAAGGGTTGCACAGAACCTGGGTGCGTCATTGGCGCGCAAGCAAGAAGCCGGACGAAACAAAGGCGTCGACAGGCACAACCCACCTCCAGAATACAAGCCTGGCGTGCTGAACAAATCAATGATCGCATTCTCAACCCTGGCCGACGGCATCGAGCAGAGCGCCCGGAACATGCTCTTCTCCGGTGCCGGAGCCGCCAGCTCCATGATCGGACACCGCTACGGCAACGAGGCAGGCTCCGTCGCAACCAACCTGACAGGCGGAATCAAGAATGTTGGATTGGTTTACATCGACGCCACGGGAGTCAGTCGCCGGGCGCTTTTGAAGTCTGTTGCCAAGGGCATGGTTGTTGGAAGAATGCGCGACGGCCAACAGGTTGTCGTCGGCGGTGGTGACGGCGGCCAGGTTCCAGCTAACGCTGTGGAGGCTGCTTCCGGCCCTTCTGGCTTGAGCTCCCGAGACCCTGTTGTGCGGCGCGCGTCGCCTAACCCCACACCGCCTCCTGCATATGGTGCACCAGGGACAATGTCCCTCGGCGGGTCATCTATGTCAGGGGGTAAGCGGTAAAAATTTGGTGGCTGGCGCGCATGGCAATTACAGTTGGGTGAGCGAGATCTCGTATCCGGAGATGTTTATTTCCCCTTTTGTGACTTTGGTACTGCAGGCATTTCTCACTGTTGCAAGCTTTTGATTGAACATCTGAGTCTTGTCAATTTTACCTTTTTCGATACCTAGTTAGTGACCTCATATATCCGCGAACAATGTTCCGACCGCATCTTATGCACAAAACTGTCGCCAGAATCCAGGAACCATTGGATAGAATTTGGTTAGTTTTGTGGCACGGCGCCAAACTAGGGAGAGCATAGTAGACCGTCTTTTCTAGTCGCAATTTGATTTGTATACGGAGTAGAGTCAGCAGACAAATCTGAGATGAGGGTGGTTGGGTGTGATGCAGGTGACAGCGATGATAGCCATTGGACAGAGTTGCTCATATGCGTTGCCCTTGTTCCGCTGGACGATGTATCCGATATTGATTGGGTGATGGAAAATAACGTTGGAGAGGCGAAAAAGTGCCAACGCATCGCTTGACAGTTGTCCATGGCCCACCTTAGCCCCTTATCCAATGAGGTTTATCAGGGATAAAATGAGTATCAAAGGCTTGACGTTATGCCTGGTATTAGTGATCCGGGGCTGTCAAAAGAAAAGTAGAAATCTCCTCCAAGATTTAGTCGGTTTACCATCAATTACTGCATGCAGATAGATTGAAATGGAGACTGACTGTGGGTAAGTGGATAGAGTACATGAAAGATAGGGTAAGGTTTAGTGTTGCAGCCCGGACTATCCAGGAACAGCATCATGTATTCCATTCAATGTACTCCGTACATGAACCTTGGAACGTTTCAAGGTTGCAGTTGAATATGAAATTCCTGAAGTTGAACAAGATCTGCTTTAGATCGGGATCCAACCATGGTTCTAACTATTTTTACCGTGGTCGGGGCCACTATGGCCCCTCTTAAATCTGCGTATACTATACTCTGGAGCTCCAAAGAGTTAAAGCCCGAAGCGAAAAGCAGGACGTTGGCGCTAATTGTCAGCTAGATCAAGCTAGGGAGATGGACTACTGCACACCATTCTCACAGCTAATCTCTGGATCTTTGAATCTCACTGGATTGATCTGAAAATCAATTAAAATTTTATAAAATCTCAAATCGATCAAGTTGATGTAAATAAAATTTATTTATATAAACGATTTGGCTAAGCCAATGAAGAAGGAGACAAAAGGCGAGATCCGAGCTTCTGTTCTGAGCGAGGTTAATAATGACGATCGTCCTGAGGTGTCCACTCTATGAGTATTCGAAACAGCCGGTGCAACCCCCTATTTTTTGCTTCTTTCTTTTCTTGAAACCGAGCCCTCGAACAATTTTAGCGCCTGGATGTTATTATTATTATTATTTCTGTCGAATCCACAGAGTACATTGTACTCTGTACGGAGTATACTTCTCTCCCTTCTTTAGACATGCGAGGATCTCTCGGGACTTGAGCCCTTTTTAGCATAGGTTCCCTGGCGCAAGGGATTCACGATCAATATATGGGCAATTAATATTGAATCCACCCTCTATACGGAGTACCGCACATTAATTACATATGTGTAGTTACTTTGTCTTTGTCGTCACTATCCTGGATGTATCATAACCCCCAAGCGCTTGGTTAGCTGGCCTTGGGCCTATGTATATATCTGTGTTCTCTGTCAGAAAATCTAACAACGTAGACATATTATAAATACTAGTATAATATCAAAGTAGCCTCTCTCATCGTACTAAACTTATATGTAATTAAATAGAATTTCCATATGTATCCAAGTGCTCATATCAGCCAAACCCTCATCCAAAGGCTCAAGAGCCAAAGACCCGCCTCCCCCAGACTAAGAGAAACTACCACTCGTATCTCACCTCCTCTTTTTCCCTCTTCATCTTCACATCCGGCCTTTCTCTCTACCCTCTGGGCTTTTCTTTTTCTTTTAGTCTGTGTTCTTTTTTGTTTCTTTGATTCTGTTCTTTGGGGTACCTTCTTCCCCCTTTTTCGACTCGGAACGCCCGACCGGTGCTTCCCGTCTTTTTCCTCCCCTCGCGCCCCCTGTCCGCCCCTCAGTATCCTATCTTCGACAATGTCCAACTGTTGTCGCAATTGAATCAGAATTCTGTTGATCAGGTCCGCAATCGCGTCTGAGACATTTGTTACCGCGTTTGCTCGATTTTTCGGACAACGTGCGACGCCAAACCTCAAGTCGTGGGTCTGGACAGAGGGGGACTCTGGAGTACTGCAGCGCAGGTATCTTTAGCTTTCCTTTCTTTTTTCGAGAAACCTGTTGTTTTTCGACGCGTCTTTACACCTGAAGAAGGTCGTGACCTGGTGTCCTCGGTGATATTCAACCAACATCCAACGGGTTTTTGCGCGATTGGTCGTAAGCTAGTTCCCCCCATTCCTCCGATCGATCTCCTGCTGTCAGTTGCCCACCCCCCATTCTTGGGCAGAAAGTCACATTTTTGGCGATTATCGATAAGAATCTGGGGAAACTTCAAGCTGACAGATCTTCCAATGTCTACAGATTGCGCTTTGAATAGTCGTTTGGCGAGTGCGACCGGTCGCCCCAACCCCCCGACTTTTGCCAAACACCCCTGGGAGGACATTGTGCTCCCTCGCGCCAATTGTACCAATCGCAATTGATACCAGAATCTTGTCAACGAGAGCCCACACAAGCTGCCTCGGACGGTCACACAGCGAGTCTCTTAAGGCTTTGCGCATCTACTAGCACAAAGGTATGCTATCGGCCACGATGCAAATCGCCTCATAGCGCGTACCCGTCCTCCGCCAAACCATTCCATTTGCTAAATAGCTTGCTAATTTCCACTAGCCGTTTCTGAGGCCGGTCCCGAACAGCTTTTTCGGCTATGAGCACTTCTCATCAGCAGGCCGTGCCACTCCCCGCTCATGCCCCAGCAATATCGACCAGCATATCATCTCCTGCCCAGAAGAATGCGCGCACAACCTATCCCGATATGTTAGGTACACCACCGGTTCCTCCCCCGAGGACCTCTTCCACCCACCACAGTCGCCGCAGTCCAAATGGAACCTCTACAGATAAAACGAGTAGCTCTCGACAAGGCAAGAGCAGGTCCGATCGAAAAGAGAACCGTGAACGCACGCGCGACGACCGAAATGGCAGACCACGGAGGCACCAGCCTGAGGAGGCATCTCGCGAAGTACAACAATCAAGGACGGCACCACCAGTCACAAACCCCGCCGAGTCAGACAGTACGCCTGGCCAGGGGAACTTTGTAAAAGAACCAAGCGCAGAGGTCAATTCTGTGCGGCCCAGCGACCATGTTATGGACCAAGAGAGAGAACAACTGCGAGCAGCTGGCACAGAAAATGCCTCTTCAACCGGGTTCGGTGCGGCTAGCACTGATGGTGCGGAGGAGGCTCGCGGGCCTCGAAGTCGCCACGATTACAATAATGGAAACGTTATCAAGCGCAAGGAAACAACATTCGGCTCATACATTCTCGGACAGACCCTTGGGGAGGGCGAGTTTGGAAAGGTCAAGCTGGGATGGAAGCGCGATGGCAGCATCCAGGTGGCAATCAAACTCATCCGGAGAGACACACTGGGGACCAACCCCAGCCGACTACCGAAAATCTACCGTGAAATCTCTATTCTACGTGAGTTGGCGCACCCCAACATTGTGCGTCTTCATGAAATGGTAGAAACCGACCGTCACATTGGTATCATCATGGAATACGCGTCAGGAGGTGAACTCTTTGATTACATCTTGAATAATCGATATCTCAGGGATAATTCTGCACGCCGACTGTTTGCTCAGCTGGTCTCCGGAGTTGGTTATCTACACAAGAAGGGTATTGTGCACCGTGATCTCAAGCTGGAGAACTTGCTACTCGATCGGAATCGCAACATCATCATTACTGACTTCGGATTCGCCAACACTTTCGACCCGGCGGATCCTCTGGACGAGGAAATTGAGTACAACTTGACCAATAAAGAGTACGTGAAGCGGAAGCGGCTAGACAAGGTTGGTGTGAATGGGGTAAGGCGAGGTGATCTTATGCAGACCAGCTGTGGTAGTCCCTGCTACGCAGCCCCGGAGCTTGTCGTGAGCGATTCCTTATACACAGGCCGCAAAGTGGATGTGTGGAGCTGTGGTGTGATTTTGGTATGTTTACCCAGTACCACCACGAGGATCTGACTCAACTAACCTGCTTGTGTAATTTAGTACGCCATGCTGGCGGGATACCTACCCTTCGATGACGACCCAGCGAACCCGGATGGCGACAACATCAATCTTCTTTACAAGTATATTGTCACTACTCCTCTCACGTTCCCGGAATATGTCACACCACATGCACGCGATCTATTAAGACGGGTACTGGTCCCCGATCCTCGGAAACGTGCAGACCTGTTCGAGGTTGCCCGCCACAGCTGGCTCAGCGAGTTCTCGAACATTGTTTCTCATATCACAAGCAGCACGACAAACGTTGTGGACATTTCGAACACAACAATCCCGTCTGGTAAGGACTTGTTTTCTCCTTCTGCAAGTGGTCAAGCTTCGAGTTACTTACATATATCTACAGAAACCCAAAAAGAAGCACCCCCTCTTGTCCGCAGTGCCTCAGTCCGCGAACCACCGAAGACACACCAAACCAACGCTCCTGCTGTTGGTGGCTTGAACCATCATGCTGGAGATGTTTCTCAAGATCCGCCGTCAGAAAAGTCCAGGACCCCCCGCGATGCCAAACGGAGGACGGTACAAGTCGAATATGTTGCTCCTCAATCGCAAACGACCCGAGGAGAACCTCCTGTGGAACCGTCTGCATCACGCAGCCGAGTCCCGGCCCCATCCGAGGGTCAAACTACGGCTTCAGCGCAACAGTCGACAGAGCCTACGCACCAGCCTCGAGATGCAGCGGCACTCAACCTCAACAAGCCGCTTCCAGGGCACTTCCCACGCTCGACCTCGGACACACTTACTGGGTCGCAGACGACTGCGATGCCGCAAGGGCCTCGGCCAGCCACCGGTGCTTCTATAAGCTCCTTTGGAAACACTGGTCGTTTGCCTTCTCGTGGCTCCTATGGACAGCCGGTGGCTCCTACTGTTACCGCAACCAACACAGAAGGTCGCCTAGCACAGCCCAAGAGCAGGCAATTTGCGCTTGCGCAGGATCCTGCGCAGGCATCGAGTACATCTATCGGTCGTCCAAGCACCCAGAACCAGCAATTGCCTGCAACCTTCAACACTACTCCTCGACAAGAGCCGCCAAAGGGCCACAAGAGGTCCAATACTGTTTCCAGCCTAAGCGAGAAGCTTTTCGGTCGTTCAGGTTCAATATTGGGTGGCCGTACGCAGTCTAATGCCACTCGTACCAAGCAGGACAAGCGCTACCCCCCTGTCAGCATGAAGGAGCCTCTACCGAGTGATAACTCCAGGATGTCTATAGACTCCCGCCGCTCGATGCAATACCCCCATAACCGCAAGACAAGCGAGTCCGGCGCGGAAAACCGTCCTCGTCGATTCTCATTACTCCCGCAATCCTTTTCTTTCCGAGGTTTCTCTAATAACCGGGCTCAGACCCCCGAAGAAAACTCGCAGATCCCTCGCCCCGTCGATCCCCGTTCCCCGCAACGCCCCGCCACAGGCCCTGCAGGTCAGGCGCACGGTCGTTCGCGGGCGACAAGCTATGGCACGCAAGATGCCATGGGAATAGTTGACGAGGGACCCGGCGAGGATGTTCATACCGAACCTGAGCCGCTTAGCTACGAGGCTCAGATTGATCGACAATTTGCAGACCTGGGATCTCAATTTGATCGCCAGAGTGGTTCCTTTGGAATTCCCTCGGCCGAGCAAGTCTACCAGAACTCTGCAGACCACCCTGGTCACCAAGGCCACTCGTCTAAGCCGAACTACTACGATGATTACAACGGCCCGTACGACAGCGCCCCTAGGCAGTCGATGCAAGTTGGTCGATCAGGACGTGGACCGGGTGTTCTGCAGAAAAACCACCGCAAATTCGCCGACGCCTATGAATATGAGCGTGATGGCTCTCATCATTCCGGCAGTTCCGGGGCAGCACGCAAGGTCATGGACTTCTTCCGAAGACGTGCCAAGTCCCGCGCCGGTGATGACCGTTGATTTCTGGTTTAACCAACAGATAAAAGGCAATATTCCATCTCAGCCGGACTGCCCGCTGAGATTGGATCGATCAAGCACCCTTGCGGTTTGAGCTTTGATCTTGGAAGCAGATTCAAACCCTATCATTCTGATGCTTCTTTTGAGTTGCTTGAAAGAGCAGCGAGGTTGTTTGGATACCCCGTGATACCCTGCTTTTGTCCCCTTCTTATGCATGGAGCGATTCCTCTTCATCCGTCGGGTGTTTGATTAATTATCTAGCATTTTCTTTTTATTTCCTTTGTCTAGCTACATTTTCCTTGCTTCCTAATGTTTTGCTTTTGCTGTTCCCCCTGTTTTACCCCCACATGTCATTTGCATTCCCTTCTACTGTTACTATTATCTCTGGCTGTAAAGTGAGACCTCATGTTCTTGTTCAGAGCATTTTATTATCCTTTTGAACCTTTATTTTTCCCTTTCTCATTGTCCCCTCTTAGCTTCTATTTGTTCCTCTATGGGAGGCTCTGTCGACGATAATTCAATTGTGACATTATTCCATTCTTCTGTGGATCATTTTTTCCCTCTTCACTTGCGTCCTTGTATCTTAATGTGTGGCTTTTCCTTTAAGGTGGGATGTTTCTGGCGGCTAGTTGTTCAGGCCTCGTTCCAGTTCTGTTGCTAGTTCTCGGTACTCTATTTCTCGGACCAGTAGTCAGTACATTGATTCTACTTGACTTGAAACTCGATAATTTGAAGTTGCATAGCTAGGATGTAGATATAGTGTAACGTGATTGATATTATAGCTTTGCTCTCATTGCAGGGTAGTCTATACTTTCAAACGCTCAACATTTACCAGGTCAGCTTCCTTATTCAAGCCATCAATCTCAGCAGTGGAAAAGGGAATACCCTCCGCCAACCGTTTCTCCTCGGTAATCATCTCGATCTCCCCAGGGAAATAAATACGATCCACGCCAGCCATCTTCTCCGAATCGACAACCCGCTGATAAAGATAATCCATCCTCCCTTTGAACTCCTCGATAGTCATAAACAAATCCGGCTTAATAGCCACCAAGAAATGCCCCACATCAGCTGGCTTCGACGGATCATATGGGTTGGTGACATGCCCAGCAAAAGCAGACCCAGAAAGCACACCGGAGAAAACATCCATCATAACAGATAGCGCAGACCCCTTCGGCCCACCCATCGGCAGCATAACACCCTGCAAAGCCTCAGCAGGATCATCCGTCCTTCCCCCATCCTTATCAAGCGCCCAATCCGTAGGAATTTTCTCCCCACGCCGAAGCGCCTTATAAATCTTTCCGCGGGCGGCAATGGAGGGCGCCATATCCAAGATAAACGGCCTACTCTCTCCAGCCGGTGCGCCGCATGCAATTGGCGATACACCCATTAGCTTCTCCTTCCCGCCCCAGACTGGCAGCGCCGGCGAGCTATTCGTAAATACAAGCGACATCATATCGGCCTCCAGCGCCTGCTGCACCAGCCACGCGGACATGCCGAAGTGATTCGAGTGCTTGACGGAGACCATTCCGATACCGAAGATCTGGGCCATCGAGATAGCGAGTCTCATTCCCTCGTGTGCGGCTACGAAGCCGAACCCGTTGTGCGCGTCGACTTGCGCGACGGCCGGCGTCACTTGCCGGATTGTGGGGACCGCGCTCGGGTCAAGTGCGTTTTGTCGGATCCGTTCCATGTAGGAGGGGATTCGGTTGCTGCCGTGTGTGTCCACGCCGCGCAGATCGGCTGATACGAGGCATTTGGAGACTATTTCAGCATGTTCTGGTGATGTTTTGTTTGCAATGAGGAGCTGCTTGACGAAATTTTGGAGGACTGTGGGGTTGATGTTATGCATTTGTTGGGGTTGGTTGGGTTGGTCTGGCATTTTGGAGTTGGGTATGGGTTTTAGGTGGCTTCTTGTTGTTTTACAAGTAGATTTGGACTTGTAGTTTGTGATTTTAACGGTCTCGAGTTCTGTTGAGGTTCTTTATAGACGCGGGACGGATGCGTTGCGAAACACGGCGGGGTGGGGCCGCACATGGGCTGTATGGGAGTATAGTTCCATTTCGGAGTATTCCGTTAATTATTCGCGAGGAACTTTGTTTTGTTATGAATATATGCTGTGGAATTAATAATAGCTTGATATTCATGATATTCACATTCAATGACTGTCAAGGGAAACTAGATGCTGGAGAGTCCATTCGGGCAAGTAAAGTGTACCAATAGGCCGACCTGGATAGTGTCATAACGGGAGTCAAAATTGGCAAAGATGCTGCTCAAATTGTTGAGGGAATAGTCTAAGTTTGGTCCGATTAAATATATCTCAGAACATATATGCAACCCTTTAACAACCATAGTGTTGCATAGAGGCACTGTGCCTATGACATAATATTCGGCTGTGGCAATTGCCGTTCGGCAAACATCCCTCACTTTCACGTCGTTTGCCGTTTGCCGTTTGCCGATAGAATATCCAAGTCGTTGAAAATGCAACGTAGGGCGCGTGCTGTGTGCACCCGATGCCATAGTCGTAAGGTATGCTGTTATTCATGAATATCTACTATTAAGGCTAATAACGATGAAGATCCGTTGCGACTTAGAAGGTCAGCCAAGTGGCAGCTGCACGCGTTGCAAGCATGACGGCCACATATGCCAGTAAGGCTACTTAATGCTATGAATGGCCTTCAAGCCCGTAGACTGACATGATAGACCTCATATTGGACCTCGAAAGCAAAGGCAAGCCCTCCGCTCTTCGCTTTATTCGTCAGATACAAGTCTCCTGTCGCCAAGTCAAGCGGTCCCACCTGTGACCCAGGAGAACACAGCAGAAGCCTCACCATTACCTTTTCGTCCTCTTGGCCACCGGGATATAAACTGCTTGGGACCTGACAATGGTAATGGCTCTCAACAGCCAAGTTCTATTGATGGAAGCCAGCTCATTCTAGACATACGCCAAGCTTGTCGCCTTCCACCCCCCGTCATCGCCCAAGCACTTGCCGATTTCTATTTCCGTGAGCTGTTCTACCTCGTCCCAGTTTTAGATCATGGGCAATCTGAGTTAGAAACCTCTACTTTGCTACAGCAATGCCTGTATTTTGCGGGAAGTACCATGCGTCAAACAGCAGGGCCAGCCGAGTGGACCACATTTGCTATTTACGGGCGGATCAAAACATTGCTCTTTCTGCACCATGACACGGCTCCATTGAATATGCTCAGCGCACTTTGCATCCTTAGTACCTGGCTTCCGTATTCTCCTGACGCGATAGTGCTGGACAACCCGTGGCAATGGACTGGCATGGCAATCCGACTCGCTATACAGTTGCACTTGCACGAGGACGAGACATACAGCAAATTAGAGCATCCTGGAAGAGCGCGCAGAATGTGGTGGTACCTCTTTATCAACGATACTATGCAGACGGCTTGCTGTGGTCGTCCTGGAATGTTTCCCTTGGAAACCTATGTGCCGCTGCCTGTTCCCAGTGACTTCAAAGATCCCGATATCAGATCACACGTTTTCTGCCAGTTAACTGATCTCTGCACAAAACTTAGAAAGGTCCAGGACCTGGCCAGAGTTGATAATATCCCATCGGAGCAGGTGTATCTGAGCCTGGACGGATTGAGACTGTGGAGAGAACAGTTGCCTACCGAAATGCAATTGTTCCACCTCGACACTAGACAACCATACAGTCGCCCTGTTGTTGAGCTCCATATATTCTACTTGGTGACCGTTATATTAACGTGCTTCCTTGGCCGCCGGCACAACCCCTCATTGTTCAAATACTCTTCAATGGTCGCTTCATCCTGCATTTCTCGGCTGTATGAAGAGATTGTATATCATGAGGACGTCCAATATCTACTGCCAATCCATTCTTGGGCTAACCTGGTTGCCGGAATCCCACGAGCTTTCACCGACAACGATGCACTGAACCTAAACCGAGACGAAGAGGTCAGAATCAGCAAACAGGTGCTGGAAACTATGAGTGAGAGACATACCTCCGCTGCTTTGGCGCTCAGCAAAATCAATGGTTTCAACAATATGCCCGCAGATGCGTTTCCTGCTCAAGCCGACAGTGCGTGGGGTGCTTTTCCGGTTCGTGGGCAAATGCAACTGGCTCACCTCTTCCCTTTCCCCTCGAGCTTTTGCCCTATGCTTGGGCTACTAAGGACTGCGGAAACTAGTGAAAACGAAACACCGGATGCCCTTCTTAATTTGCCTATGGAGAGCAATGATTGGCCGATAGACTGGTCTTCTTTCTTATTTGACGGCCCTATGAGCTTCTGAGATAAGGAGAAAAGTATATCTAGTGAGAAGGGATATTTTTGTTACTCGAATGTCTGTGACCTTGGAACGTCAGGTGGCCTTAAGTAATGATATCCGACTACGTAGTTAACTAGTGCTATATCTGTATAGATCATCGCAATACGCTGCACTCATTATATCCACTCCGTCAGGGGTAAGTCTTGGAAACACAGGTCTCATCTTCTTTCATATCAACCCAGTTCCAACAAGCCTCCCACATAGCTTCACATTTTGCCGCGTCTTCGCTCACACGCGCAGGGAGTTGAGGCTTCGTTCCATTGAAATGGCCCCTCGCCGATGCAAACTCAGGGGCCAGAGCCAATGCTAGGACATCTCGGGCTGAATCGGAATTTGACCGAAGCCTGTAAGTAAAAAGCCTGGTCACTGGAAGTGAAAACGCGAGCAGCCTAAACAAGACACGAGTGATCGAACGCTGGGCGGCATGGGCCCGGGATTCCACAAGACCACCCGGGTCCATAGCAGTCACGGTGATCTTGCTGAATTGTGGATTCTAGAGACGGAATTAGCGCCATCCTCTTCCGTTTTGAGGAAGTTCCTCATACCTGTTGAAGTCGTCGATTCAAACTCCGCATAAACATGACATTGGCCAGCTTGCTGTTTGCGTATCGTCGCCAGCCCATATCATGTTCTGTTCCAGCCTCATCTGCGCCGGGTTTGATCAATGAATCAAGACTCCCATCAGAGGGAAGTTCTGCGCCCAGTTTGGAAAAAGCGTTGGGATGTTCAGGATCGTGGACTTCAGAGCTAAGCATGACCACTCGACCCGTCTCGGGATCCATGCTCCGCAGAAGTTTGAGAACCAGCAAAAAATGCGAAAGATGATTGACTTGGAAGGTTGATTCCATCCGATCTTTGGAAAATTGCTGACCTTCCAGAGACCATGTAAACGCATTGCAAATGATGGCGGAAATGGGCGGAAGCTCGTTAGATGCCACTAGGCCAGCAATTTCGTTCGAGAAGTCTCGTACTTCTGAAATAGAGTTCAGATCCACGTTTTTGATCATGAGCTTGCTAGAAGCATACTGATGCGCCATCTCTTCCAGTCGAAGCAAATGGGTGCCCTTGGGGGATTTAGTTGCATTTCGGACAGTGCCAATAATTGTCAACGAGGGATGTGACGACAGAAGTTGTTGCACGGCTTCAAGCGCGAGCGAGCCGGTTGCACCGGTGATAATCACTGTGCTTGCCATATTTGCAAAATTCATGCAAGAAGAAATGATCGAGAGAGCAGAGAAGAACATAATAATGCGGTAATGGGGCAAATTGACCAATCATGAATATTGCCGAACTCTCGGGTAAGTGTACGGCAATCCCCTTTCATTTCAAGACTCAAGGCTCGGCCCAGAAAAAGAAGAGAAAGGATTCGGGAAGGATTATAAAAAAGAAAGAGTGATGTTTAGAGTGCACCATTGCATCTGGCCGAATTCGTCGAGGAAGCTTTGAGGAATATGCATTGGAAGGCTCACGACCCGTTAATCTCCCTGTCTATGAGTTCTGCGGCTGTGTACTCGGTCGAAGGTCAAGGTAGTTTATTTCGCATTTCCGACAGTTCATACCGGGCAAATTGCTGCCGCTGAAATTTCCATGACACTATCAGATTATTGATAAAGGCCAAGCTCCCAATAATCCCAACCACCAGAACCCCAATCAGAGGTCCGAGGATGGCAAAGACTGTAAATCCATATGAAGCGTCCTGGAATGGTGAATTGAAGCCCAAACGGTCGGTCGCAAGTCCAACCTGCATCGCCGTCAATACCAAGGCAACGTAGATAGTCGCCGCGGTCAGCGGAGCCAGATAGTCGTAAAACAGCTCACCGTACGTCTGATAGGTTAACTGATAGCCGCTCAAGACGCTAGCATGGCGAATTGCGTAGATCTTGTTGAGACGCGACAGTCTCAGCTCTCCAAACAAATATCGCGAGTTGATGTTCCCGGGGCTGATCACATTGTTCTTCAACAACTGCTGGTTCAGCTTGAGCCACATCTCCCAGGTGATAGTATTTGGTAATAAACGGTAGTTTTGTGCAATTGAAAAATCACTTTCAAACTGTACAAGGGCCATATAGGAAGATAGCAGACCAAGAGCGCATTTGTATAACTCTCGCGAACGTGCCTGCCCTTGGCAAACCGGTTCGCCTGGGGAAGCACAACAGGGCGCCTTACAGACAAGGTGTGACTCCCAAAACTGGGAGTCGAGAAGATATTGTGGTAGTGGTTTCAGATGGATACGTCGAGAGCCCTCCCAGACCATATGCATGTCGATTCTCTCGTCCACGGCAATTTCCCGCGAGATTGCAATCTGGTAATTTAGAGGCTTGGCCGGCATTGGTTGACCAGCCAGCCATAGGTATTGGTCGATTTTATTCAGTTTATTGACCATCAGATCCTTCTTCAAGAATCTTTGGATCTCTTCCGTAGGGCTCACGAGTTTATGATCCGTTCGAGCAGAGGCTGGGAGAAGACGAGCGGGATCCAGCAGACTCTCGATGAATGCATCTTTGCTGAATGGCAGTTGAGACATCGATAAACTAGGAGATTATATGTTGAGATATCAATGAAAGATGAAAATAATAGACGAGAGGAAGAGCAGACAGCCCCACCCCACGAGGTCTTGGCGTTGGGCAACGTGATGGTCACTGACTCCGAGAAATTGCTGCCTTCAGGCCGATGGGCTCTCTTTTAAATAGTGTGCTAGCAAAATATTCCCACAGTTTTCACAAATCATCATGCCTCCCCTAACAATCATAGTCACGGGCAAATCATCCGTCACCCACGCTCCAGAGCATGGCACAATCAGATTCTCAGTAAAAGAAAACGGCCCCGAGCAAGACAAAGTCGCCAGGGAAGTGGTAACATTATCAACATACCTACAAAGCTGGATCAAATCAACCTTTCGCTTCCGGACCGACGATGAGCCCGATGCCCCTCTGATGAAATTCTCATCCACGAGTGTCAGAACGTGGACAAAGTCAACAGACAGACATGACCAGCCCGTGCCAAACCCGTACCATGCCAGTGTATCCTTCAAAGCCGTCTTCCGCGACTTCGCCAAGTTGAATCAGGCGATCGAAGAATTGATAGTCTATCCCAAGGTGGAGATCGACGGCCTGAATTGGAGTCTCACCGATGAAACTGGCAGACGACTGGCTTCGGATGCACGGAAATTGGCATTGCGCGATGCTATTCAACAAGCCGATGACTATTCGGAAGTGCTTGAACGCCAAGTCTCGGTGGTGGAAATTACCGACCATGGAATGAGCCCCTACAAGGCTACCCACAGAAACATGATGGCTGGTAGTTTTGGTAGTCACCCTGGGGAGGACCCTGCGCCACTGGACCTCACGCCTCAGGATATTGATGTCGAAAGTCAGGTCAATGTCACCTTTCAAGCTGCGTGAGATGTAAGGCGTTTGGCCTGATCTCTTTTTTTTTTTTTTTTTTTTTTTTTTTTTTTTTTTTTTTTTTTTTTTTTTTTTTTTTTT